TCAACTGAGTAATGTTCTGGTGGAATGGTAGGATAAAAATATTTTCAATTAATATTGATAGTCAAATCTCATTCCTTTGACATTTTTCCAGAAGGGTCTTCCATCTATTTGGGGAACAGAATGTCCAGTTTTGGAACAGGTGTTTGAACCCCTTGTTTTTCTTCATTGGAATAATATTTTCTAGCTGATTTGAATGTTATACTTGAACAACATTGAAAGGAGACTCTGACTATTGAATTTGTATTAGAGTTTATGGACCTGAACTATGGATGGTGAACTGCATCCTTGCTGAGACGATTATATGATAAAGACTTCTGTCATAAAACAGCTGTCAACATGAAGCATATCCGTGATTGATCATAATTGTGGGCCTCGGCTGACCAAAAGCATTTTGTATTACTCATCCATCAATTGCCTCCAAAACAAGCTTTTATATATCTAATCATATCCAGCCTTGTGCTAGATCACTATCTACTTCTTGTTGTTGTCTTTTTCAGAGGAATGCTGGACTAGTCATTCCCTTCCTTCCTAGAAGAAAATCAGTTCTGTATTACTGCCATTCTTTAAATGAGTCATCCTTCAGTGTCCAGGAATCAGCTCTTTTACACTAAGTTGCTGCATCACACACAGTCATTCATTATAGGTTTATTCCTACAAATGATGCGCCAATACAATGGTGTTGTATTGGAGCATCAATAGCAGGTCTTATCCTCTTCTATATAGATGTATACCAGGAATGGATCTGATTCACATGCCTACTGCCTGGGCTCAGGATTGTTTCTAATGATTTGCTCATATTATGATGGAATAGCCAAGTAGGGTGGGTGTTTTTTAAAAAAAGAATAATTAAATTGTGTCCTGAATATCAGCAATCTAATATCTTCATATCCCCCTTTTCTAACTTTTTTCCCTAAAGGACTCTCCACCAGCTTTTGCCTTTTTCCTCAGCCAATAATGGTGTGAAAAAGTAGGGAAAGGATAGGGATAGTATGATGTTGGAGAGCAGAATAAAAACTGATTGATATGCTACTGAGTTTTGGATAAATCAGAATCAGGACTAAAGGCCAGGAGTACTAAACTAGGAGGAAGCACTTGAGGTTGTGTCCAACTGACAGTAGAACCACTGAAATTAATGGAGCTAAGTTAGTCATTAATTTCAGTTAACCTACTCTGCGTAAAACTTTACTATTTTGTTTCCTTTTTGTACCCCATCTGGCAATAATATCTTTCATGACAGAAGTAGTATAGTGGGACTGGATTAATCACAATGAGAACTTCAGTAAACTAACCAAGACAATCCAGAACTGGAATGAAAAGTTGGTGACTCAAAGATTCCGGTTAGGCCTTCCAGGGCCAAGAAAATGCAGGGGCTAAGTTATGGGATAGAAAGTAGACCATGAAAACTTGCCAGAGTGTGCTTCGTTGTGCTATTTCATCACTATTGAATATGTACAAATACTTGCCAGATGCTAAAGAGTGGGCAGTTCCTGGCACGAAAAGTACTGAAGGGAAAAGGCCAAACAGAGAGGAAGCAACTAACCTCAGGCGTCTTCCACAGCTAATGGGAGGAAAACATGTACATACAATAAAAGAAATAATGAAAATCTGAAGGAACTGATGTATAAAAAAGTAAGAATGAAGGCAAATGCCTGGTTTCATTGCCTGCTCCTTGGGCTTCTTTATACATAGAAAATATTGTAGGCCAAAAACAGAGTATATGCACCTCAAAGGGTGTGTAATGAGATCAACCTGATATCTCCAGGTTTGCCAATTGTTCCACCCTCAGCAGAAGACTCTTGCTGCAACATACTGGGCTGAGTACTTAGCAACTCAGGTTTATCAAGCTTGGGCCGGCTCCTAAATTGCAATGGTTTTTTGTGTGGCTCCTGCCATGTTTACAAGCAGCCACTGTCTTCTAAGCTCTATCTCTCCTTTCAACCTACTTCAGTCTCAGTGAGGCTTTCAGACTCTTGGTCTCTGAATATGGTTTTGGACCAAAGACAGCGAACAAATAGAGGCTTAATTCAGACATGGAGATGTTGTGGATGGAGAAACCAACCTGGTTGCAACCAGCCTTAGATAGGGTTGAACTCTCCATGAAGGACCACATAGAGTTTAGATCTCTTGGACTTGCTATAAGCTTGAGAAGCAGTGGTGGCCAGCAGGTTAGGCTGGGACACCACCTACAGCTAGATTTAATCTGCTTGGTTGAGGTGCTTGTGTTTAATCTTGAGTCACTTGTAGTAGTACTGGAATAAGCCACTAGAGGGAGAGGGAGATGCAGGGACCTTTTAACTTCTTTCCCCTGTGCCATTTGCCAAGATACAATAAACTGATTGTAAAATTGTCTTGCCACCAGCACCACCAAAAGAACCCAAGAGTGGGAGTAGAGTGCCACTGAAACAGTAAAAAACCCAGATGAACACTTGTGGATATATAGGCCTCAGCAGTAAACTTTGCATAACCACAATTTAGGGACATGTAAACTGCCTTTCTGCTAGTACAATATCCAAAGCAGTACATAATTCAAATGAAGGAGAATTGCTTCTAGTTTGTTATTCAAAGTTGTATCTTTGCTGGGGCTTCAAAAAGTAGCTTCCATTTAGGGGGAAACTCTACTCTCCTGATGCACTGGAGTCAATGGAATGATTTTGCACAAGGCCACAAATGAATTTAGCTCTTAGTTCCTAAAGTAATGAAAGAAGTTTAATTCACTAAATGGGGTTTTTTTTGCTACATTTCGGGGAAGTAACAGGCACAAGGTATGTAGTCACACATTAATAGAATAGATCTATCACACTGGGTTTCTGAATTATTTCTTTACCATGAATTGCTATGTAGCTTTGTGCAAATGTTGGGACACGGGTGGCGCTGTGGGTTAAACCACAGGGCCTAGGACTTGCCAATCAGAAGGTTGGCAGTTCGAATCCCTGCTCCTGCCAACCTAGCAGTTCGAAAGCATGTCAAAGTGCTCCAGCGGGAAGGTAAACAGCGTTTCCGTGCGCTGCTCTGGTTCGCCAGAAGAGGCTTAGTCATGCTGGCCACATGACCCGGGAGCTGTACCAATAAAGTGAGATGAGCGCTGCAACCCCAGAGTCGGTCATGACTGGGCCTAATGGTCAGGGGTCCCTTTACCTTTACGCAAATGTATTGATAATTTTTGACGTGTCTTGATCTGCAATACCTGAGCAACATTACAGAAAAGCTGGGGAGCTGTGTATTTCAGTGCATTATGTAGATCTATATCTCCATGATGCCATATATTCTGAGCTTCTGTGCAGGAGAGAAGCAAACAAGCCTTCATGATTTATGTTGTACCAAAAGCAGCAAAGATATATTAAATTTGGCACAAAGCCCACCCTTTTTGCCACTAAGTCTAGTCAAAGCCCTAAATGTCTAGGCTACAAGGAAATTCAGCTCAAAAATTAAATATCAGCTAACCTTTATGGAACGATTTTTCTTCTCTCTACAAGACCTCACTGCTGCAACCACTGGAAAAAGTGGCCCGACAATGTATCATTCTGGAATATCCTAGACAAGAGTCAGCAGCACTCTTGGTCTTCCAAAATTTGTCAATGCTGTGCAAAGAATGTGTCTTGGTTTCTCTTAAGATTTAAGTGTAGCACAGCTGACAGAGACTCTTTCTAGCAAGTCTGATGTCTGTTTGGCCAGGAAATAAAAAACAGCATTACCCACCACTGCCACCGCCAAATGGAATCTTAAATTTTCTTTGTGTGTGTGTGCTTTGTAGGGAGATACAAAATAGTAAAAACAGTAACTTACTGTGTCAGCATAAGTATTCAGGCATTCCAACCACCTTATTTTGAAGTCAAGAATTAAAAAATATCTAGTTACATCCAATACAAACAAGAGCCTGAGACCTTCCCAAATCCCAGCAATAGCAAAATCACCAACTAAAACTTGCCCCATGGAGATCAACACAGAAACCTTACCAAGAACATTTTCCAGCACTTCTGCAATATGCTCCAGTTGGCTTTCTCTAGTATATCCTCAATAAGTTAACAGCTTCAAAGGAAGAACAGCCAGCAAGGCCTCTCTCCACCTGTGTCCTCCTTGTACACATCTAGTGCAGTAAGATCTCATTTCTAATTATCCTATCTGTATACTGAATGGTAATTCTTAAATGGTAGCATTATAACTATTATTTTTAATTGCATTTATATCCCACCTTTTCTTCCAAGGAGCTCAAGGCAGTATACAGTGTTCTTCTACCCCTTCTCATTGAATCCCACACAACAAGCCTGTGAGGTAGGTGAGGCTGTGAGGCAGTGACCAGCCTAAGATCACCTAGTGGTTTTAGTTGGATTAAGACCTGGTCTTCGAGGTCCTAATCCAACACACTAAGCACTATGCTACACTGGCTCTCTGGACCATGTAATTTAACATTCATTTCTGTTTTCCAGGACGTCAGCTACAGCGGGGATATTATGAGAGCACACTCAGTTATAAAACTTCCTAAGAGTTTATGCTGCGCCCCTCCCCTGCATTTGCCCCCATCCACATCAAACCTGTTAAAGAAAAATTAAAACAGTACTGAAATATTTTAGCAGTGGCTTGGTAAAGGAAACTGCATTGGCATTGTGCACCGCCTAAAAAAAGAATGTTTTCTACAAGCCAATAAATCGCAGGGCACCTTGGCAAAGCAACTCCTACATGTCTGCGCTCAATTCTGTTCCTCCTACAGTACACCAGCAACTCTTGACTAACAAAGGAAAAAGTGGGAGCCAAGGGCTTGGGTGTGTGGGGTAGTTTAAAATAAAAGAATTGCAACAGTGCCAGCTGTGCAGAGGAAGTTGTTTGTTTGTTTTTAAATCCAATGCATTAGACCCCAGTCTCTGTTTCTAAATTGCCTTTTGGAGACCTCCTCTTCTTTTTCAGTTATAGTGTGTAATGGTAACTTTATGAGAATTGGCATCCATTTAGAACATTTGTCTTAGTTTATTTTTACATTTCAATCAGTTCCTAAACAACTATTTGTACCCCATAATAAATTCTTTTGAGCAAAATCAGAGAGATGATGCAGCCTATTTCCTGTGCTCCCATTTACACTGAAAAGTAAGAGCAAGAAAGGATTTAATAAAATGTTCTGAGAGTACAAGAGGCAAAGACATTGCTTTCATTTTCAATGCTAAGATGTACCGGTAGATTGGCTCTCTCAGGTCTACAATAAGGATTCTTTGGGTCTGGAGAAAGAAGCCTCACCCATCTTAGGAGGTGTGCAACACAGCAAATTAATCTGTACAGGACTGTATAAATTCAGCAAATTAAGTTTAATATAAAATGGTCCCCATAAGTTTAAATGTACAGTTCTATTTTTACATTAAGTTTATTATTCTACTTTACTTCCACACCCACAACTTCAGCTCTTTTTTCGCATTCTGCATAGGAGGGCATGCAAAACTTGCTGCTAACGAAGAAATTACCTAATTTTGAAAGCAAGAGGCGGTCTCATTTCTACAAGTCATTAAGAAAGTGTCAGAACTCTCATTCTTTATTTCAACAATAGATACCAATTAATGATGAAGATTTAGCCTTTTTATTTGGATCATACTTACACCTCAGTTTTTAAAAATGCATTGTACAAAAAACCTGGGACAAATACATATAAAAGCTTGCTTAATACATTCTAAAACAAGGCCAAGTAGCAATTCAAATGACTGTATTAACAGGAATGCACAGTGTCTTTATTTGTGTCCCTTAATATTACGAAGCAAAGAGATCATTTCTTCAGAAGAACAGTTTAATTTCTTTTCTAAACAGCAATTCATACAAGTAAATTAGATGAATTTAGTCGTCATCAGAGAAATGGATATGCTTGCTTATCTCTTGTGTCTTCGCTAGCCTCATTTTTTCAGCTTTTGCAATCAGCTGTAGAAGAAAAGAAGAAGACCAAGAAGCATTTTCTAATTACCCTGTATTGTCATTTTAATTTATCATGTGTCAGAGAAGATGAGGATTAACACTCAAACCAACATTTGCAACTATAACCTTCATAAAACAAATGTAGAACCCTGCTGATACTAGAAAAGACTGAGCAAATGTTAAGAAATTTTTAATTCCCTTTATTTGAATGGAAGACATTTAAATTGTTGAGAGCCATAGATCTTATCTTTGACAACACCATCCTCATTGTTCCTCTTCAGAATTGTAACATTTAATTAGCAAGGTACTTCTCTAATGCAAAAACACAGTGGGGCTATTCAGCCATTAATCCTGTATCCTTAAAATATTTGCTCTTTAAAAAAATAAAACTTTGGTGGAAAATGTTAATTTTAATGTTTGAAATGAAGACACAGATTCTAAAAACACCTTATTACAACCAATTGCAACAGGTTAAGGTAGAATGCAATAAAAGAACACTTTAAGGAAAAGTACCACTATCCTTAGAAAAACAAAATGACTGACATCCAATCTCTGAAGATGGTTTGGAAACTTCAACTGGTCCAAAATGTGGCATCCTGATGGGGTGAGGCAGGCAGCATTGATGACACCATTGCTATGCAAGCTTTACTGATTACCAATGCATTTTCCTACAAGCCCCAGCCAAAATCACCACTGGTCAAAGATAACAGGAGTTGGAATCCAATGGATGGAGGGCCACACGTTCCCCACCCATGGGCTATGCATACCAAGTTTACAGTTTATACCAATGTGAACCTGTGGTCGGAGTGTGGCTTGATACAAAATACAAGCAAAGAGGATGACTGATAAGCTTTGTGAACAACATGGGATAAAGAAGGCACAGTAGACCAAATCATGCCTCACACAGTTCTCCAACTAACAAGGGAGCAGTGTGTTTTGCTCGCAGCTAAATAGGGGATTTAATATTTTTAAAAATGGGGGACTAGCTAGTGTGTTTCTTTGTCCCAGCAATCCTGCATTGATAGCTGCACAGACTTTTGGGGTGGGTGGTGCATTCCAGTGGTGGGTGAAGCCAAAGACAAAAGTGGATGGAGCAATATAGGAGACTGACATTTATACAGTTGGCTACATTTCCACCACACAGAGTTTACTATATCCTTCCCCCAAGCAAACCAAGGGAAGTTATCACCATTGAAATGACATTTGGAGTTCTGAGAAACAAAATTTTGCAGAACACGTTTCCATGGAAAAGTTCTCACATTTTTTCTTTTTTTGTATGATCTAGACAATATTTCTTCTAGTGCAAACTCTCAATATAAAGGATTTCATGGATGTACTGTAGGACCTAGACATGTTCAATGTACTTAAATGCAGCAGTGCAAGTTCTTGCCCATAATTAAATCAGTCCAAATTCTACCTTTATAAAATTTGATTTTAGAAAAGGAGAACCCCACCATCTGACCCCAAAATCATTGTACAGCATGCAACACTGCTGTAAATCAAGTAAGGTTGTTTCAAGAGTTTCTGTTAAATAGGCATATATTGGCAAGAAAAGGCTCAGGTTAGCAGAATAGGATTGATGCTCTTCAGAACCCTTCCAGTGCTACAGTAGCGCTAATGCCACATTAGGTAAGGAGTATCTAGAAAGGAGGAGCAACTCATGAAGTTCAAGAAACACTGAATTAAGGTATTTAGCTTTTAAATATTCACCTGCTTTATTTATATTTGCATTACAGTGACCCAAAGTCCCAAGGTCTGCTAGAACATTAATAATATCAATATACAAAATCAAACTCCTAAAAAGCTTCTCCAAATCTATCCAATACCAGCATTATTTATTAAATGTCCGCTATGTTAATATTTAAATGGTTGTTTATAAGCTATGGAACAGATGTTTCTTAGAGATGCAAGATGACAGAAGAGGGTGATAGGAAAATGGCAGCTAGCTGCTGCTACTGTTATCTGTCATTTAACAGTTTGTTTTGATAATACTGCTTGTGTAAATTAATCTGCAGTTCTTTGCTTAAGGAACTCTCAAGGATTCTGGTAGAAAGTACCAAGAGGTTAAGGCTATTCACAGTCTTACATACTGGGACACATGAATGGTTAAAACTTTACTTATGGAAAGAGGGTACAGATAAAATAATAATTTATATTGTGTCTTAAAGTTATTGGGAGATATGGGTTCAGATGGGATGTATGGATTTTGTACTGTTGCTTTCAAGATTATATTCAAATGCATAACAGAAACCCTGCTTTTAAATAAGTTATGAGATGTCTTTGGAAACTGTTCAATATTCTCAAATTATTGGAACTCCACCTTATTTTCCAACTGCCAAGCATGCATTTGCACTGAAATAAGGAAGGACACAGTAACTGGAGGCAGGCGAAACACTATTTCTCTTCTATACAAAATGTAGCAGACAGAAACAAAGGATCCATTTCCTTGGGGTAAATCCAGGATTGGAGTTCATGAAAAGGAAGATGCTAATTTACAAGGCTTTACAGCAACACTCAAGTGGTTAATGGTTATGCAAAAAATTAAAGGGTAATTAACACCACAACGTTTCCTAGAGATATTTAGTTGCATATATTCAAAAAGGGTAAAGCAATGTGAAACAATAAGATTCAAGACTTATCAGACCACTGGGCTCTAATAATGTATACAGTCTTAAATGTTCTGATTCTAGCTTTTAAAAACTATAAAATATTCTTAACAGAAAATTGTTCTAGATATTACTTTTTCAAGAGTAAAATACATTAGGGATTTGTTAAAGAATCACGTGGTTAAAAATTAGCAAGAAACAGTATCATTAGAATTTTCTCTTTTAAAGAACTTGTTACTTGATTTAGACAACTCCTTAACATTATATCAGTCTTGTATTTAACTCCTTCTTGTAAGTCCTGTCAACAAAAGCTTTTCCAACCCATCTCCAATACTTGGGAGTCACTAAACTAATAGAGTCCTGCCAACCTAGCAGTTCGAAAGCATGTCAAAGTGCAAGTAGACAAATAGGTACCGCTCCAGCGGGAAGGTAAACGGCATTTCCGTGCACTGCTCTGGTTCGCCAGAAGCGGCTTGGTCATGCTGGCCACATGACCCGGAAGCTGTACGCTGGCTCCCTTGGCCAGTAAAGCGACATGAGCACCGCAACCCCAGAGTCGTCTGCGACTGGACCTAGTGGTCAGGGGTCCCTTTACCGTTACCTTTAAACTAATGGAAGCTCATTAAGAGTAATTTAGTATCAAAGCCCAGAAATAGAAGAGCTACCTTGAGGTGTATGAATAAGAAAATGCTTGTTAACCTGATCTGATATAGTCTTCTGGAGTCAATGGAGTGATGTTTACAAGTAAAGTTTTTCACAGCTACACCACTAGCCTTTGTTGGAGATGAAAATGAACAGACATAATATGAAATACATGCAGCTTCCTTATACCAAGTGAGATCAATGGTCCATTTAGCTGAGTACTATCTATTCTCAATGGCAATAGTTACTCAGTACCTTTATATTTTATATTTAAGGCATTTTATACTGTCCTTAATATTTAGCTAAGTGCTTTCAGAGGTCATTTAACATGAGTCCTCACACAAGTTTACCGAATACTCTACCACTGAGCCCTTCCCCTTGAATATAATCAAGCCATTTTTTATTGAGTAAAACCATTTGTTCATCTAGTCCAGTGCTCTCTATACAGACTGCCAGTAGCTGTCAAAGATCACAGCTCCATTTCTAGTTTCAAAAAACTGAATCCGAGATCTTATCCATATAAAACAAATTAAGTTTTATAAATCACTGAGTTAAGATGCTTGCCCACAAAATCCAAAGAGTTCTGAATTGGTTATCTTACCTTCTCTGTACCTCGCTTCTTTTCTCTTGGTTGATTAAGTTTAGCCTGTCGGTCCACCAAGATCTTCTGCCAATATCGTTGTTCATGATCCCCTGAATACAAGAATGTTGTAACTGTGTGTTATATCTGTATGAAGGAAGATGTTTTGGTTTCCTCGGCTATATCAATACAACAACCTTTCTACAACTTTGTAAAACACAATTGTTGCTAACTTTTAACAGTTTATTTCTTAAATGAAATATACGTTAATGCAGGTGCAGGGAAGACTTTGGCCTTTTAGATGTTGCTGAACTACAGCTCCCATCATCCCTAGTCATTAGCTATGCTTGATAGGACTGGTGGAAGTTGTAGTTCAGCAACATCAGGCGGGCCAAAGGTTTTCCACACTTGCTTTAATGCAAAGAAAAAAGTTCTCATGAAGATAAGAGATGCATCATTTTATGTCTCAGCTTTCTATCAATGAGAATACATATACATACACACACACATATATATATATATATATACACACACACACACACACACACACACACACACATATATATATTAAAAATTTAAAGGAAAAGAGACACCACCAGCTGAACTTTATGACATACACTTCTTATAACACTCTCACTCCTTATAATTTGAACAGAGTAGAGGAGGATGCAGAATAAGGGAAACCATGTCCTGCTGATGATATACCATATCCTGTTTAACACACACTGGCCTCAATCCAGCTGTTTGCAAACACAGTAGTAGGTTTTGGCCCTTGCTTACAGACTGAAAAGCTCCTTCAAAGACTGGGACTTCACAAAATGTCTGTCCTGCTGAAGACAGAAAATGGACTGACGTGATGGGTGTGTGCTCAGTGGGCAAAGCCCAACCCATGTTTCCAGTCTTCAGTAGTAAAAAGGCAACAAAAAGGTGGTGTGTGTCCACCACCTCTGGAGAAGTAAAGTCATGATGTGATGTGTAACCTTATTGGGCTTTTTCACCAGATGGAAATTCATCATTTCTTACCCAGCCACTTATATAGGCAGAAAAAATTGGTTCCAAAATTGTATGGCCCTAGCTATATTTAGAATACTTTTGGGGGGGGGGGAATTCAGGATACAAATCACAATTTCAACAAATCTTGAAATAGTCATAAAACTGATGTGGCATGTACAAACCCAGTGAATTTCAACAATAAATCTTACCTGAAAGGACCTCAAGTTTCCAATTGTGTTTCGTCTGTAGTTCTTTATGTGATTTTAATAAAGTTTGTGCATCTTCAGGAGTTTTAAGCCGCACATGACACTCTGTGTCACCTTCCAGCAGGTCAACATAAGCAACATTAGCTAATGTTGCTAACATATCCTGTGGCAACACAAACAGGACAAGCCATTAGAATTAAGGCTTTTATCTACTTACCACGGTGCTTTTATCTACTTACCACGGTGGGGAGCATTTTTTCCTACATTTTCACAGGGCTCATATACCACACTCATAAGGAAATACATCTCTACTATTAACTGTTTTCACTTATTATCACTGATGTGTCACGAACAAAGAAATATCTTTCCTAATGCACTTATCTGGAAGCACCATTCATGAGCCATGAAAGGGAGGGTGGGTTGACAATTACACTTAACCACAGAATGGTGATTGCAAAAAAATGCAAAGAGAAAAGAGAAAAATCTGTCATGCTAGTGCCACATGATCTAGATATCGTCTACCAATCCAGCTCTAATACTCTACACACTCTGGTTTACAGCTCTGAACCTTTAAAGCATGCTATAATTCACCAATAGAAGTGGATACAATAAAGAGTATCCTCTTATCTCTAGCTATGACCATATTGCTGTCATGAGCAATCTCAGACAGACATTTAATATTTAGATGCCAATGTCAAGTTTGCCTTGCTAATAGCCAAGATGATAAACCTGAAGTTACAAAACAACAAGGTTAGGTTAGGGCTTTATCTTTCTCAAAGACGTATCTCAGTGCTGTCTCAGAGAAATCATTAAATCATCATAAAACTTAACAATAATGAAAGAACTTCACATACATTATCTTGTTCCAAGCCATGCAACAATTATGTAAATATAGGTCAGTATTATCATTCTCATGTTGCAGACTACAGGGTAGAGGGATGGGACTGAGACTATGCTATTTGCTTTAAGCAATCTAATGAGTTCACAGCAGAGGAAATATCTGAACTGGAGACTTCTGCAGCTCAACTTTAAACTGCTGTTCCACACCAGCTGTCTATACTAGACTATAACAAGAAGCACTCACAAGTTTGTGAAGTTCATTACAAGTATGAACAAGGTCAATGTTTAAATTTTAAGGGGCAGAATTAAAATACTACTGTACACGCAACATGAAAGCCAGGATTGAATGTCAGTTTAAACAAGTTTTAAATAAATTGCTGTTTGTGTGTGCTTCACTCGTCCTCTGCTCCTTTCAATGTGCTGAGGAAGAAACAAACCAAAGATTGGCTTTATGATACCTGTGAACCCGCACTTGTGGTTTGTTTCCCCATCAGCAAATCATAAAATCATAGCATCACAATTGTAGAGTTGGAAGGTACCATGAGAGTCATCTAGTCCAACCCCTGCAATGCAGGAATATTTTTTGCTCAATCTGGGGCTCAAACACACAACCCTGAGATTAAGAGTCTCATGCTATACTGACTGAACTATAGAGGCTTGGTGGGGAAGCCATACCAATAGACACAACTTTTACAGATAAACTCTTTCCTCAACCAAAATAGTTTGAAATCTTTTTTGCTCTGATGTAGATTTTCTCAGCCTGGTTCTTCAATTAAACAATCCTTTAGCAAGTATTATAAGACACCTAGCTGGCGATCAGAATTATGAACAAAGGAAACTGACTTATACAGAGGCATACCACTAGTATATCTAGCTCAGAACTGTCTGCACCAGGGGTAGTCAACTTTCCACATGTTGTTTGACTCTAGCTTAAGGTTACCAGATGTCCCCGTTTCCCAGGGACAGTCCGTGGATTTACAAATCAGCCTCCATACAAAATCCTATCGTTCCTACTGAAGTTGAAAAGTGTCCCCGGATTCACTGAAAAAAATCTGGTAACCTTACTCTAGCTCCCATCAGTTCTAACCAGCATGGCCAGTGGTCAGGGATTATGGGAGCTGTAGGGCAGCAACAACAGGTAACTGATTGGCAGCAGCTCTCCAGGGTTTCAGAAGGGGGTCTCATCCAGTTCTACCTGCACATATTGGAGATTGAACCTATGACCTTTTGCGTGCTAGGCAGATGCTGTGCAACTGAGTTACCTTGACCTTTTGAAATGCTATTCCATATTCAAAAAATTTCAAAGCAAATTATAGCATTTACCCCGAGGCTATAGAGGCATTACCTTGATGTGCTTCCTGCCTGGCAAGGGCTCAGCACTAATGATCTTCACTATTACGCCACCCTCAAACTGGGGGCCCATTGTGTGAACCTTTTCAACAGGAGCTGAACCACCCTGGGAAGCTGTTCATTTGAAAAGGAAGAGAGCATTCATCAAAATTTCACTTGTAACAATTTACCACTGGACAAATTCAAAATAGCACAATACCTCTCTTAGTATATTTTTTATATTGGGTATATTACTAGGAATATTTCTATAAGAAGCAAAGGCAGTCCAAGAGAAAAGAATGTGAGACAGATCTAAGTAGCAGTCAAGTGTTATTTTCAAAACATACTTTTTAAAAATAAGTTATAGGTATAACATGATACCTGCAACATCTAGCAACAATTAATTTAAGCCTGCACTTTCTATTTGGAAACAGAGTCTAAACAAAACTCTAAACTCTAAACTAAACAACTTTTGGTTGTTTCCCCCTCTGTTCCTCATCTCCTCCTTTGTGAAATATTTAGGTGGATGAAAAGTTCTGGAAAAACTCATCAGCTATTTTCTGACATTTTTGGTTGGTTCTAATGAAGCTGGATTTTGGAGAAACAGATAAGATTTTCTTAATAGTTTGACATATATAGATCACTGTTGGTGGCATCAAAATATGCCTCAACATGACAAGTAAAGGCCCTGCAGTTTAAGTTATAAGCATGAGCGGTATATCAATAGTACCATTAATTCCAGTTATCAGCACATACAAAGCCAAACAACTACTTTAAGGTTGTATATTCACAACCTGATTGTTGTGCTCTTGTGAAGTTAACACTCTCATCTTGTACTGCATATATGGCCAATGAACATTAATTAAAACAATATGATTAACTTACTTTGCAAAGCAACATTAGGCAATCTTTCTGAATGCTAAGTGAATTTAGATAGATTTGATTCTTCTAAATCAGTGGGCAATGAATAAAGAAACTATTCACAAAGTTGGTACAGAAATGGGTTGTTACAGCAAAGCATAGCACAAATTTTATTTAGTTCTCAACTTTTTTTTGATAATTACAGTAATATTGACTAGTTTGATTTCTTCAACAAAACCAGTGAGAAAAACTCTGAGACCTCTGGCTTGTATCCAAAGTTGGCCCTACTTAGAGCACACCCACTGAAATTAATGAAACCAAGTTAGTCATTTCAATGGGTATATACTGAGTGGTGCTGGACCCTAACCACACAGCATACAGAAACCTAATGCCCGAAAATTCATTTACTGATATGCAACCTCTTGGTTCTAAAGCCCAAAGGTTGATCTTGGATGCTGAACACTAGTTTATTCTTCAGTTTTTGTAACATTTCACAAGTTCTCCTGTATACATACAAGTCAACTGGTTAAAGAAAATCAATTTTGCATGATGAGAACTAGAGAAATTTTCAAGATCTGAAATTTCCTCCCTCTTAATGTCCTTTCTGCTTCCAGGAAAACACTACATACTTCTTAATATCCAAATATCCAATCACTAAACTACAATTAGCATGTCATTTCTTCTGTTAAGGATAAGCACAAGCTATGAAGAACCTCACAATTTTCTTTACATTTTCCATTTCTTGCTGCAGGCTGGTTAGGTATACAGGCATCTGTTTCCATTTCTCCAGCAGTCAACGTTTTTATTTGGGCCATTGCTTTTTTCAAAGAGGACATGCTGGCTTTCTGTAGTGTCAAGTATTCTTGCTTCAGCTGCATCCATTCATTTCTAAAGTGATTAGAAAAGAGACTGGTGGATCATGCTTTTTAAAAACCACAATAACAAAACTCAGTTCAAATGCATACCACATATAAGGAAAGACATAGTCAAGAAGATACCACCATGGTTAACAAATGGAGTCAAGGAACTTACTAGAGGCAAGAAGGACTCTTTCAGAAAAATGGAAGTAGTGCATAAATGAGAACAACATGGAACACAAATTGTGGCAAATTAAATGCAAGAAGGCAATAAGAGATGCAAAAAGAAGAATTTGAGGAGCATATTAGAGAAGTACGTGGCTAAAAACATTAAGAACAAAATAAATAACTAAAAAGCAAAGCGGGAAAGCAGTAGGGGTTGGGGTGGACCTTAGAACTGCAAGTCAAAACATGTACTAAAGGACAGAAATGAGATTGCATCTATCTTCATAGTGGAAAATGAAGGGCAGATCTCTGAACCTAAACTTTTTTTTACCAGAAAAGGAAGTGGAATACTGGTGACGAGAGATGTATTTTGAGAAATAAAAAAACAACAAATCTGAACATGAGTTACTGGGTAACACAAGTGGTGAGAGTGCTGTTGCACTCCTGTCAAAAGGACATGAAAAGAGCCAAACTACAGTAGTCCAGCATTCTGTTCTCACAGTGGTCCACTAAATGCTAAGACAGAACAGAGCAACCATGGCTAGTAGCATGTGGGTTTACCATAGGCATCTGGTTCACCACTGTGAGAACCGGATGCTGGACAAGATGGGACTTTTGTCTGACTCTTCTTAAGATTAAAAAGGTAAAGGTACCCCTGCCCGTACGGGCCAGTCATGACCGACTCTAGGGTTGTGCGCTCATCTCACTCAAGAGGCCGGGAGCTGGTGCCGTCCGAAGACACTTCCGGGTCACGTGGCCAGCGTGACGAAGCTGCACTGGTGAGCCAGTACCAGTGCCGCACACGGAAACGCCGTTTACCTCCCCGCTATAAAGCGGTACCTATTTATCTACTTGCACTTAGGGGTGCTTTCGAACTGCTAGGTGGGCAGGAGCTGGGACCGAACGACGGGAGCTCACCCCGCCTAGGCACTGAGGTTTTACCCACAGCGCCACCCGCATCCCCCTTCTTAAGATTAGCAGTTACTAATAAATTATTAGCAGCCACTAGATAGTCCATGACATAATGATCAATTTCCAGTGGATCCATTAGCGATTGATTTCTAAAAGTATGGCAAAGACCGCTAGACTAGACCTTGGCCTAAACTTAGGTTCTTAAGCAACAGTACATACTCAGGATCAATACACAGAGTTTAATTATGCATTACCTTTATTAATCCTCAATATGCAATCTTACTTTGTACATTTCTACATTAAAAGACACCAGTGTATCACAGATTAATACCAAAAATGTAAAAGTAAATCACAAAGACTGGTCAACCTGCCTCTGCTAACCAGCTGAGTATTTTTTTAAAAAGGTAAGAAAAACTAGTTAGAATGTTCCCAAATCTATGGAGACAGGAACATTCCTACTATTCAAATGCAGCAGAGAGGAAAGCCCAGCATGGAACCAAATGATATATTTACATTCATTTAACATGGAGATGTTTCTTCAAACAGCTAGAGCCTTGCTGATAGAAACACAATGGGGATAGTGCAATTGAGAGAATGATTCATTGTTAACCTAATCTGTGCTATCAAATAAGCAGATATGGGTTTTATTTTGTTTTTTAAAAAGATGGTATCTTGGGGTAATAGTGTTAATCCTTGATGACGACACCAGGAGGGCAGGATGAGAGAGAGGAAGAAAAATAAAGATTCTGTCCCATCTAGGAACATACATTTTCTGAGAGAGGGCTTTAAATAACAAATGATCTACCTAATGACTCTGAGATAAAGGCTCAATGGTACCCTTTACTAAAGTATGGAATAAATAGAAGCTTGGGCAACACTTTATTAAAGGAAGCTGAAAAGGAAAAAAACACCAAAGCGAATGAGCAAGGTAAGTAAGCAAAATGGGAAGTATTTTTCTCAAATATGTTTATATTAAAACTAAATAATTTGCTATATTTAATGCTTTGGATAGCAAAAGGTGCTGCTTTATGTGGAACCCTTCTACTTTAACATGGAGGTGCTTTCTGTGTGTACAAAAAAGGTAAGTGCTTCCATGTTTTGGCAGAGGTGAGTCCAACTCCACCAGGAGTTGTTTGTAACTTGAGTGTTCTTGTATTGTTCAATTCAACATCATGGAAAGAACCACTGCCAGACATTTGTTTACTTGACTGCAATATCTGCTATATTCTAATCCATGTTCCAGCAAGGTGTGCAGAATCTCTGTAACAGGATATTCTAGAGAAAACTTGCTTTACCTGCCCTGTTTCAAGATGCTCTCTGCTCCTGTAGAAAAGCATGTTTTGCTACACTGACTGAAATAGAAAACAGAATTCTGTGCACACTTACATGCACACTTACTTGGAAGCAAATCTCATTTATCTCAGTGGGTCGAACTTCCAAGCAAATGCAGTTAGAACTGCAGCCTGAAGCAGGCAATAAACTACACAGTATGTAGTCCCTGATGGAGGAAGGTTCTAACAAGAATTCTGTAATTGTGCTGGTAAGCTTTTGTTTGTTCAAAAAAGTCACATCTGACAGTGATTCAGTCAGTATGCTAAAAGAACTGTACTGAATTTAAAACTAGGTAATTGTGAATTGTTTGCTTCGTCTTTTTATGTATAATCTTTATAATTTTGATAATTTTATAACTTATTTTGTGTTTTAAGATTGTTGAACAATGCTCTTGAGCTCTATGGATTATGGATATAATTTAAAAATAAAGCTGCTTGATTTATTTTTTTAAAGCAATGACGTCTATCTTCTTTCACAGGAAAAATTCTCACCTAATATAAGGGACTACCCACTACTTTAATGTGGAAGTACTTGTTTTATTCCTTTAAAAAAGTGCTTTCATATTTTAGTGATGGCAAATCCTATTTAATCATCTTACTCAACATTACTCAATTATTTACTAGCAAAAAATCCAAAAATATGGAATTACATTTATTGCATGTGGAACTTCTTCAAATAGGGTTACCAGTTCAAGCGTCATACTGAAGGATTTTCTGTACTTTAACATGGAGGTATTTGCTGGCTATTTTTAAAGTAAGTGCTTCTATGTTTTAGTACTGCATGATTCCACAATCAGAAAATATATTATTTTCCCTCTAGTGAAAAGAAGGTATAGGGATTAACTGGCAAGACTTCAAACAGTAAGTCATTTTACTGTCATTAATGTCAACAGGTCTATTGGTCAAAAGGAAAAAGTAGGTATTTTCTATGTGTGATGTGTTCATTGCTGTAACCCTTTACCGTTGCTGACATGCAACTCTGTTGTGTGAAATCTGGAATTGCACTTTAGCAATGGTGATGGACTATGAGCCATGCGGATAAAGGCTATGTATAGACAATGCTTTCTTAAACATGTGGAATATTAAGTTACAAAGTTGTTTGTATTAATGCATATACAGTGGTACCTCAGGTTACATACGCTTCAGGTTACAGACTCCACTAACCCAGAAATAGTGCTTCAGGTTAAGAACTTTGCTTCAGGATGAAAACAAAAATCATGCTCTGGCGGCGCGGCGGCAGCAGGAGCCCCCATTAGCTAAAGTGGTGCTTCAGGTTAAGAACAGTTTCAGGTTAAGAACGGACCTCCGGAACGAATTAAGTACTTAACCCGAGGTACCACTGTAAGAGTTAATACAGATGTGGCCATTGCTCCTATGAAGCTTTGGTATGAATTGTCACAATAAAGAAGTATTTACTTTTGATATTGACTTCATTCACCTATATTTTACTCTTTTTTAAAATGTGCTTTTGCAACATGTATAATAAGAACGACTGCTCTAAAACTGCATAATAAAACTAGTTTTTATCAACTTCTGAAGAGTCATAACCTGGCCAAAGCTTAGAACATTGGCATCTCTTTGATTTCAACAGGAACAAATTATCATATTTAATTTATATTGCTGTATAACTGTTGAACTGGCTGAATGTGCCTGAGAATTTTTCCTCTCAATTGGATACAGCTATTTTAAAAAGGTGTTGCACAGAATGAAGAAAACATTCAAATTCTTCCATCTATGGTCAGTACCTTTTTAAACATCTTTCACTGCCTCACAAACTGTTTTAAAATCTCTACTGGAACAAACTTTGAAGTAAAGGCCATCTAATCTTTTAGGCTCAATCCTTTGCTCAAAATGATTTCTTTGAAATTGTTAGCAAAGGATCTGGTGTACCTCCTGCACCCTCCATTTGATAGTATATATGTAAGAGCCACTCACATGTACACAGATTTTAAATGTACACAGAAGGCGAATGTCAGGGAACTGCCATCGGAAGGAAGGGAGGTGAAAGGGCTCACACAGGTTGGGAGAGACTCAGCAGCTGAAGAGGGAACCAGTAGGGGGAGAGGAGCTGAGCTGAGGGAAAGTGAGCTGGAGGGATGGCTCAGAGACACTTCCAGCGAAAACAGTGGGGAGGTTTCAGGACCTCCTGTAGGGACACCCACTCCTCGCCGGAAACTGACACGCAGAGAGTCCAGAAGACGTGTTTCCGTTAAGGAGCTTTTATGTTGGAAGCGATTCCGAAAGCAACCACTGTCGGAAACTGCTAGTGACTAGAGGAGCCATGTCTGAGGGGCTCCGTCACAGACAGAGGTTTGTGGACTTGAACAAACTCTGAGGGGATACGATTTTACGCACAAGCAGCTCATCATCCCATCACAGCATTCCGACAGTCTTTGAAAGCAGCTTGTGCAGGAGAAGGCATCATGAGCAACCCAGCCGGAACCGGAGAAGCAGGAGCTGGAGTGGGTCCAAGCCTGGAAGAAAGGTACCGGGTGTTGGAGGTCCAGCTAGCAATGCAGACGGCGAGGCTTGAGGAGAGGAGGGCTCAGGATGCAGACAAAAGGGGAAAGCCACCCAGCTCGCCAGAAAGGTACCAGGATTGGTGCAGAAGTTTGGGGGGGAGCCCAAAGACTATCATGGCTTTCGGACAGAGATGCAATATGCCCTCAATCTGCAGTTTGATGAATTCCTGACGAGGAATCACGAGTGGCTTTCGTGATTGAGCATCTTGAAAAGGGGGCGAGAGACTGGGTTAGACCTCTGATGGCAGCGAATAGTGACGTCCTAAAGGACACGATGAAGTTCTTTCGCGCCATGGATCTGATGTTTTCCAGCGATATTGAACAGGGAGTGGTGCGCAGACAGTTAATGGCTTGCAAACAGGGGAGCCGATCTGTCCGTGAGTACTGGACTGAGTTCACCATGCTGGTGCACAGATTGGGGTGGGACTTATCGGCGGAACCCATTCAAATGCTCTTTGAAGAAGGGCTTTCTTCGGCTGTGAAAGACGAACTTTCCCGGGCGCCCAGGGCGGAGTCTATGGACCAGCTGACCAAATCAGCGCTGACCATAGGAGCGCGCCAGGAGGCGAGAGCATTGGAGAGGCGGGAAGGGAAAGGGGAACGTTGGAAGGAGTTCCGCATTCCAGACATTCCAGAGCCAACTTTCCCGCCGGCAGAGCCGATGGAAATCGGAACAGCGCGCGCGCGCAGTTTCAAAGCCCAGTGAGGGGGAAAGAAGGAGGGAAAAGGCGCCCGGAAATGCTATCTCTGCCAACAGCCAGGTCACTTTGCCAGAGTCTGCCCCCAGAGGAAGGAATGGCAAGGGATGGTAGGAGCTGTGGGAGGGAAGAGAGGAAGAAATACCGGAGCAAGTAAAGCCAACGCCTGGCTGCCACTGTCGGGGCACAGCAGCCAGGCCAAAGAGCAGTGAGAGTGCCCACGCCAGAACCTCCTAAACCCGCCCTAGTGATAGAAGTGGCGCTAGAGCTGCCAAACGGACACCCTCTAAAGCTAAAGGCGCTGTTGGACTCAGGCAGCTCCTGCAATTTCATGAGCAAAGAGTTTGCAGCTGAACACCAGATACAGACGATCCCTTTAAGCAACCCCCTGCAGGTGACCACGATCGATGGCAGGGAGCTGTTGGGAGGAGAAGTCAGCTTGCAGACCGTCCCAATGATAATGAAGGTAGCAAGGCACACCGAACTGATAGCGTTTAATGTGGCCACCTTGGGAGGAGCTCCCATTATATTGGGGATGAGCTGGCTAGCGTTACATGATCCGCTGGTGGGCTGGCATCAGAGAGTGGTTTCTTTTGGTTCAGCACATTGCTTAGAACACTGCAAAGAGGGAAAGGGTTTGGCAGGGGCCCAAGCCACCCTAGCAGGGACTGAAGTAACGGAGAACGTGAAGGTACCACGACAATATGCAGATCTCCGCGACGTCTTCAGCGAAAGGGAAGCTGACCAACTACCCCCGCATAGACCCTTTGACTGTCAAATCAATTTACTCCCTGGGGCACAGCTCCCTGTAGGCAAGCTGTACGCCATGTCAGACAGAGAGATGCAGGAGCTAAGAGAGTTCATTGACAAGAACCTGAAGAGAGGGTTCATCAGAGAGTCCAGGGCGGTGGGGGCAGCCCAGTGTTTTTTGTGGATAAGAAAACACGAACAAGCCGAGGCTGGTGTGTGACTTCAGGGCCTTAAATGCAGTGTCAGAACCAGTGGCCTTCCCTATGCCCAGGATTGACGACATTTTGACAAGGGTGCGGAAGGGAAAGATTTTCACAAAGCTGGACCTAAGGGGGGCGTACAACCTGATACGAATAAGGAAGGGGGATGAATGGAAAACCACCATGTTCACCCCTTTAGGGGCATTTGAATATTTGGTTATGCCCTTCGGCCTCCAAGCAGGCTCCGCATGCTTTCAATCGTTTATGAACCACGTCCTGGGGCCTTTGCTTTACAAGAATTGTGTGGCCTTCTTAGACGACGTGTTGGTGTATTCTGAGAATGAGGAGCAGCATGTGAGAGACGTCAGAGAAGTGTTGAGCAGGCTGCAAGCCAACCAGCTGTGGGTGAAACTGGAGAAGTGTCAGTTTCATACCAAGGAGGTGGAATTCCTGGGGTATCGCCTGTCAGACAAGGGATTGGCCATGGATCCCGGCAAGGTCCAGGCGGTGCTGGAATGGAAAACACCCAAAACAAGGAAGGATGTGCAGAGGTTCCTAGGATTTGGGAACTTCTATCGTAAGTTCATCCGAAACTTTGCCCACCTGACGGCGCCCATTACGGACTGTCTCAGCAGTAAGAAGAAGTTCGCTTGGACTGAGGAGGCGGAGCGAGCATTTGAGGAACTAAAAGGGCCTTCGCCTGGAACAACAACTCCTGCATGTGGATTTACAAAACCGATGAGAGTGGAAACTGACGCATCAGACAGAGCGATTGGGGCGGTGCTTCTGCAGCCAGGGAAGGAGGAGTCAGAGTGGAGACCGTGTGCCTTTTTTTCGCGAAAGCTGAACAAATCCGAGAGGAACTACACGGTGTATGACCGAGAACTACTAGCCATTCATGAGGCGTTCCGGAGATGGAGGCACCTGCTAATTGGCGCACAACATAAGGTGCAAGTGTGCACTGACCACAAGAACCTAGAGTATTGGAGGACGGCACGAGTGCTCAACCAACGGCAAGTGAGATGGGCCCAGGAGTTCTCCAAATTTAACTTTGAGATTTGTTACGTGCCAGGCCCAGAGAACATTCGGGCGGACGCTCTCTCACGCAAACCTGAATATTTGGTGGGGGGGGAGGGGGCACCCGAAGAGAGACATGTCATTCCAGAGGACCGCTGGGTGTGTGGGCGGCATTGGTGGGACAAAGAGAACTGGTAGAGGAAACAGAGAATGATGAATACGCCCAGAATAAGCTCAGAGGTCTTAGGGGTGAGGGAGAGGAACCAGGGGGTTTCGAGGAAAGAAATGGAGCTTTGTATTACAAAGGGGCACTGTATATCCCTGAAGGAGACTTAAGGGGAGGGTACTCAAGCAGTTGCACGACAGCCCTACGGCGGGGCATTTTGGACAACACAAAACCATGTGGTTGGTCACCAGGGAATTTTGGTGGCCCAAGGTGAGGGAAGATGTACGTGAGTATGTAAGAGGGTGCGAGCAATGCCAGCGAGCCAAAGGGCGCCGGCGGGGCTATTAGAACCCTTACCAACCCCAGAACGACCTTGGGAGGCAGTGTCGATAGATTTTATGACTGATCTGCCGAAGTCCAAAGGGAAAACAGCCATCATGGTGGTGGTGGACCTACTAACAAAGATGTGCCACTTTGTAGCTTGCTCGCATGCAGTCACGGCGGAAGAGACAGCGAAGTTATTTGTAGAACACATTTTTAGGTTGCACGGGGTGCCATTGAGGGTGGTCTCAGACCGAGGAAAACAATTTACTTCCAGGTTCTGGAGGAAGCTCATGAGCTTACTGCAGGTGGAGGTCAATTTTTCGACTGCCCGGCACCCTGAAACCAACGGGCAGGCGGAAAGAGCAAACGGTGTCCTCCAGCAATACCTGAGGTGTTATGTCAATGACAGAGAGAATGACTGGGTAGAAAAGTTGGCGCTGGCGGAATTTGCCTACAACAATGCCGAGAATGTGTCCACAGGGATGAGCCCCTTCTTGGCTAATTATGGGTGTCATCCCAGGGCTTTCCCAGGGGAGATGGGGAGAGATGGAGCGTCCCGGCAGCCGAGCATTTTGTAGAAGAAATGGAAGCAATCCATTGTCAGCTCCAACTCAACTTAGAAAGGGCGAAGGAAGAATACAAGAGGCAAGCAGACAAGAACCGAAGGGAAGGTGAAACCATAAGGGTGGGAGATAGGGTGTGGCTGTCAACCCAAGGGTTGCCGTTCAAAGGAGGTTGTAAGAAATTAAGACCCAGGAGGTTGGGTCCCTTTGAGGTCATTCAACAGGTCAACCCAGTGGCTTTCAGGCTCCGGTTACCCAACCACATGAAACTGCACCCAGTATTTCACAGGTCGTTACTGTCACCGTACGAAGGGGACGAGAAGGGATGGCCACTCGGGACCAGTCATAGAAGAAAGAGAATGCAGCAGCCATGTGGCAGAAATCCTCGACGCCAGGTGGAAGGGGAATCAGGTGGAGTATTTGGTAGCGTGGGAAGGAGAACCGGAGTCAGAAAACACTTGGGTAATGGCCGAAGATATCAATGACGAGGTATTGATAGAAACGTTCCATCAAAGGTTCCCAAGGAAACCTCAGCCTGTGGAGAGGTTCCGGAGGGAATACTTTGGGACCACTGATGAGGAGGAGGAGTTGGAAGGCTTCCCGGACTCGGAAGGGGAAGGGGAGATGGACTCTGAGGAGGAGGAGTACTTCGAGACCAGGAACCGCAACAGGTGGAGAGAAGTGTTCGAGACATCGGAAGATGAAGGAAGTTCATTCCGGGTTTTGCCTCCTCACCGCCCGTAGAGGAGGGGGCGAGAGGGGGTGAAGGGGGCCCTGGAGGGGAGGTGGATGTCAGGGAACTGCCATCGGAAGGAAGGGAGGTGAAAGGGCTCACACAGGTTGGGAGAGACTCAGCAGCTGAAGAGGGAACCAGTAGGGGGAGAGGAGCTGAGCTGAGGGAAAGTGAGCTGGAGGGATGGCTCAGAGACACTTCCAGCGAAAACAGTGGGGAGGTTTCAGGACCTCCTGTAGGGACACCCACTCTCGCCGGAAACTGACACGCAGAGAGTCCAGAAGACGTGTTTCCGTTAAGGAGCTTTTATGTTGGAAGCGATTCAAAGCAACCACTGTCGGAAACTGCTAGTGACTAGAGGAGCCATGTCTGAGGGGCTCCGTCACAGACAGAGGTTTGTGGACTTGAACAAACTCTGAGGGGATACGATTTTACGCACAAGCAGCTCATCATCCCATCACAGCGAATGACAAAGTAAGCATTTCAAAAGGATAAAAAGGTTCAATAAACTTGTTTTAAAACATGAAATTCTTTTTTTAAAGAGAACAAGCCATTTCATCTATCCACAATGCAATGCAAATATCAATTTCACAGTGATATAATAGGTAAAATTGATTTGTTTTACAAATGTAAAACAAGTTGCATCAGCAGAGGAGTTTTTATTTCCCGTAACAGGCTAGTTTGTGTGCTTCAATAAGACAAAATATAAGCTGCAGCAGCAACACCCCTGAACTGAAACAAGTTGAATGGAAACAGATAAGCAGCACTATTGACAGGTCAAAATTAGGTAATATTTTTCTCATGGGCGGTTAGTACCTAAGAACACTAAAACACAGTTCTTGTGTAGACTACTTCATATCTGGGAAGTCGCCAAACAGCAGCTTCTGGATCACAAGCAGCCCAACACTGTATTTTACTGTCAATAATGCTTTAACATACTTTGAAAGGACTCTCAGTGGGATGACCTCTTCTCCCATCTTGTGTCTCTCTTTATGTTTCTTTTTATGTTTCCTTTTAGATTTTGAAAGAGATGTATCTTTCTTATCACCAACCTCTCTCTCCTCTTCAGTGGAAATTTCTAAGTGGAAAAGCAAAAAGAAATAGCTAACAAGCAAAGAACAGCTAGTTATAAATACTTTAGTGCCTTTCCTCCAAGGGTTTGATTCTGGGTCACTTTAGCAAACAGTCTAGCAAACTGACTACTATACTATACTGACTCTACTTTGAACTGAAGAAAGAAGTTCATAGAATAACTGAGTTGGAAAGGGGCCCCATGTCATTTAGTCTAACTGCGAAGGAATCGCTGAAAAATTACCCCCAAACTTCTGTTTAAATACCTCCAATGGAGGAGAGGCTACTACCTTCTGAGGTAGTCCATTCCACTTAACAACTCTTAACAGCTCTTAAGTGACAGAAAGTTTTCCCCAATGTTTACTGGGAATCTTCTTCCTTGTAATTTGAAGCCATTGATTCGGCTCCACCCCCTGGAGCAGAAGAAAACAAGTTTGCTCCATCTTCTACATGCCAGCCCTTCAGATATTTGAAGATGGTTACCTCTGTCTTCTCTTCTCTAGACTAAGCATACCCAATTCTCTCACCCCATTCCCCAAATGGCTTAATTTCCAGGCCCCCTTATCTTGGTTGCCCTCCTACAATACTGTGTATATGTTTAAATATTACTTTACAGCATTATTAAATTTCTATCCCATCTTTCCTCCCTAAGGAGCCTAGGGCAACAAGCAAAATAAATAAAAAATACAGGATTTTGTTTTTCTCTCACACCCAAAACAGGCATATCTTCACAGCTAATAATTTCAAGGGTTTCAGGAACAGTACATTTCAGCCATTAAATGCCTGAGTAAACCAGAATGTTTTTAAATTCTTCATAAATTTAGAAGACAAGTACCTCGCCAGGAAAAGCACCACTACTCCTACCAAGAAGTACCTGCAAGTTATTTATTTATGAAAATATTTGTAATGTATTCATAAAAAATATCAATTAAGTTTACAACATCCACCTGTGTATACAATAAAAACCGTGTAAAGCATTAACATCAACAAAGCATCACCCAGTGGCAGCCCTACCAACAGAGTCTTGCCTGTCACTCATAGGGTTCCAGATGCCCAAAATTGGGAGACACTTCTTTATAGACTTTTTGTAGGCATCTTCTATATGCAAAAATCACAATCTCCATTTGAAGCAACAGCATTTCTCCAGCAGTTCTCTCCATAGTTCATGGAATATTATGGTTTTTTGTATAAACTGCTTAGAGGTTTTATTACAATCATGGCACATATAAGTTGCAAAATACAAATAAAACAAATCATAGATGTGCAAGCTGGTCTTGCATCTTAAGGAACACGCGTGGGGTGGGTGGAGAAGGATGCTGTTAATAATGCAGAAGAGGGGTATAAGAGGAGAAGCAAGCAGGCTCTGCTTCTCTCCCTCCTCCCTGGCTCGCTGAAAAACTTTGCTGCTATTTAGCCAGCTGAGTGGGGAGGAGAGAGGAACAGAGAGCCTGCTTGCTTTAAATGAGCCAACCGGACAGGAGCCGCTTACACTCCTCTCCTCTCCCGCTTTGCTCCTTTAAAGCAAGCAGGCTCTCTGTCCCTCTCTCCTCCCCACTCAGCGGCTCTTCTCCCGCTTTGCTGTTTCAAAGCGAGCCACGGAGGAGGGAAGGAAGGGGAACCATGGATCCTCTGCTCACGACTGCAGCAGATCCCCCGCCATCCGTAGGCATTCGCTCCATAACACGCACAGACATTTCCCCTTACTTTCTAGGAGGAAAAAAGGGAGTGTTATGGTGCAAAAAATACAGTAATTATTTCCTGGTGTATTTCCTACTCTCTCCTCAGGTTTTAAACTGAATTACTTTTACACCACCAAGCTTTCATTTTCTCCCACTGTTTACAAACAAAACTCAACAATGTAGTTATATTACCCAAAATCTCTGTACTTGGTCGGATATTTCAGTGAAATTTAAAAATAGGTGATCTGCTTCTTACCTTTGGGATCCTCTGGTCCCTCTGTAGATTCCTCTTTTGTAGAATGAACATCTTTCTGAAATGTTTTCTTCGCCTTTACAACTGACACCTCTCCATCCCCAGAGTGGCATCGTTTCCTCTTTCCTGGTCTACTTTCTCCTGAACCTGAGCTTTCCATTCTATCAAACTTCCTTTTTTCTTTCTTTGAATATGGCCGTTGGACTTCTGATGCTTCCATTTCAGAGCTCTCAGACGTTGTCCTGTGTCTCTTTGACCTACTTGTGTGTTCTGTAGTAATGCCCACATTTAATTCTTTTGCTTCTGCAGTTGGTTGCTGGCTACTCTCCTTCTTTGTTTTGGATTTTTTCTTCTTTTTCTTCTTCTTTTCTTCTATATAAAGTGAATAATATCTGTCTTGACATTCTGTATTTCAATTATTACAAGTTTATCCCACTTTGCTTCCAGGGAGTTCAGCATAGTATAGAGGACTACCTTTTATTTTCTGTCCCACAACATTTTAGCCTCACCCTGTGAGTTCTGTTAGGCAGAAAGATTGACTGGCCTAAATAACCCAAAACATCACAAGGTATATCACGCTTATTTAACTCCAGGAGTCAGCACAATCCCAACTTTGGAAAATCAAGAGTTTGAGATGAAGTATCATGGTTTTTGTTTTAGAAGGAGTGCTGAACAAGAACAACTAAATAAAATAAGATATTTTCATGAAAGACTGATACTAAAAACCCACAAAGAAAGGGTCTGGTAACATCTTAAATAACTACGTAACCACTTCATGCATCTGATGAAGTGGGCTGTAGCCCATGAAAGCTTATGCCATTATAACTTTGTTGGTTTTGCTAAAATTGACTAAGGTGGCTTCTCCTGAAATTTGTCACAATAATCTTATCTACCCTGAATATTTGCATGGCTGTAATCCAGAAATCATCCAAATCAGCCTAGCTGTATTTAATTTTTACTTCACTGGTTTCAATGGGATTAAGCAGGTTTAACTATCCTCTACCAATCCACTACTGATAACCAATGGGCCCCCTGTAAAGACTTAGGTAAAAGTTATGATACCTTTCAAAATGACTCCAGTTTAACAGAAAAAAATATTTATATTGATAACTGGAAAGCAGTCTAAAACAAAAAAGATTGGAGCATGGGCGTAGCCAAGGGGGAGCAGCTGCCCCATGAATAAAAATCAATACAAATACATAGATAAGTGAGGTCCCCCCCACCCCCGCCTGCAACGAAAGGCCTGCTCCCCTTAACAAAAATCCTGGCTACGCCCATGGATTGGAAAACATTGGGCCATACAAAATTAACAGAAGATACAGAAGTAAAATAGAAAGACTTGATGGACAAAAATAAAACTATCACCTTTCCACTCACCAACTACATTGGAATCACTTGATGGTAATGCAGGAACGACCTTGTTTTTAACAGTTTTGGGAAACATCCCAGGCTTTCTTGGTGCATCTTCTGGAGGATTATTCAAGTACTTAAATGCAAAAGTTAGAGAATGTAAGTTAACTGTTAATAGTCATTTTTCCACAGACGCCCCTCTATATACCTTTGGATCTTGCATGAAAGATATTAATTGGTTACTTTTGGCTGAAAGACGATCATGAAGAGATGCAGGGAAGTATCTCAGTCAGTAGAGCATGAGACTCTTAATCTCAGGGTCATGGGTCTAAGCCCCACATTTGGGCAAAAGATTCTTGCATTGCAGGGGGTTGCCCTAGATGATCCCTGTGATCCCTTCCAACTCTACTATGATTCTATGTTGTGGGTTTAAGCTGAATTATATTTAAATACCCACTTTCTGACACAGATATGTACTGAATTAAAGAATAAATATGCAGGGCAATCTATGCAGGAAGTGCTTACTCCCATGAAAGTATGCATAGGACTTTAACCTAAGATACAAGTATATCTATGTACTGCTCTTTGTCAACTATTAGCATGGTGAAGTTTAGCATTTCAAAAGATTCAGGATGCAAACTTCCCAACACTAAATGTGTCCTATGGCCCACTAAATTTGGTGGGACTTAGCCTTGAGTATATATGCATAGGGTTGGACAGAAAGTTAATTTTAGCAATGAATTTTGCATGCTGGCCTTATAGTAAAATGAAGGGGACAGAATATGGTTGCCATTGGGAAGGAACCAGAAACTATGTAATGCAAGAAAACATAATCTGCCTGATAAAGTATAAATTAATATTGTAATGAAATTTACATTCTTTGCCAAGACATTTTAAGTCCACCACCAGGGTAAGAAACTTGCCATTTTTGTTAATTTCACAAATTAAAGATAAGACACATTAATATATATGTCTTTGTAAAGTTTTCAGAAATTATAGATGAGTTCAGAGAATTCTGTATTTCTAAATTCTCAGTGTAGAGAGCCTGTAACATATTCTCTTTTGTTAAATAGCTATAACCACACAAGGAGTTAAAAGTAAAATATAGGAATACAGAAGTTGAAACTGTATATAGACATGAAGCTAAATAGTAACACAGCAAACTATTATTTCAAGTTGTTCACAACTGACCTCAATTGCCTTTTCAGCCTGTTCCTTTGTTTCAAATTCAACAAATGCAAATCCCTTTGGGTCTCCGGTAGTCTTATAGCGAGGGATACTGATATAAACTACGTTGCCACATTTCCCAAATACCCTTTCAATCCAACTATGATTGACATTTTTCGGGAGCAATTCCTACAGCAAAAGCGAAAAGCAAATTATGGGTATATATATTCATGCTACTGAATGTAATAAAAGAACCATTACTTTAACTGTATGCATTAATGTCCGATTAACACAATTTGGGTGAACCATGAAAGAACTTTGGGAGGTAATTCATTCCAGTCCTGTTCAGAGTAGACACACTGAAGTTAATAAACATGACTATTTTCATAGGCCCATTTTAGGTTGCTAAGGCTGTCTTTTTTATTGTAAAGAGTAATAATAATAATAAATTTTATTTATACCCCGCCCTCCCCAGCCAAGGCCGAGCTCAGAGTGACTACTATTTATTATTTATTATTTATTATTTATTGTAAAGAGTAGTTAAGACTCTGACATTTGGAGAGCAGCACTCACAGGAAATATAGGCTCTCTTCACATGTCAGCTAACATTGCAGGTCCCCATCCTTATGATGCACAATTATGAAACTATTATTATATGTACAATAGGGTGAACTGAGAAAGAGCTACAGACAACAAAAGTGAATTATCATTGCTCAAAGCTCCTTCTAGGAAATAAGGTTATGAAAATTATAAGTACCTGCATAAAAGTTTAAATTAAGCCTTAGAAACCCACATGCAACAACATGATAGGCAGCACACAGATTGGTTCCATCCAAAAGACCTTGTCCTATATACCAGGATTAAAGAACCATGTTCAAGGCTTTTAACGCTATGCATTCTTCATAGTTGCAGATCAAAAGAAGTAATTTAACATAATGGATTTTGCATGGTTTCACATTACTATATGCTTAACATCAAAACGGAAAAAGACTACAGGTTGCATTCTTTTTGGGGGTAATTGATTCTACAGAATTTTTTTTAGTGGCTGTGTTTTTCATAAGCTATTTTGCTTCCATATTTTTTTTTAATTGGACACTAAATAAATGGATATCCACAAATCAAATTAGTTTCCAAGTAAACCATGTTGTAATTGAATGTTAACAAAAGAATAATTCTTTAATTAGCAGACTTGTATAAGACTTTTCCTTTGTAGGTGTAATACAGAAAAGTCTCAAAAAAAGGTTGCAGTGGTCAGGAAGAGGTGATTCTCAGCTGCATAGTGCTTTGAAGGTTAAAAGCAACTGACAGCCAGTGAAGTAGGGCAACCATGTTATATCTACACACCTTACTGTTCTTCTTAGCTATCAGCTGGTATATTCTGAACAAACTGATAGTCTTCAAAAGCGGTCCCACGTACAACATAATGCAGTAATCCAATCTACATGCTGCTATAGTGCACATAACTGAACAAAGGTATCCTGGTCCAAAATAAGCTTGCAGCTTAGCCAAGACAAGCTAGGTCCAATTTTGACCTGGACACACCACACACTATGCACTAGAGCTGAATGACCGCAACAGAGAACTAGCTCTACTCATGGAGGCTTCTCATGCAATTTAAATTGTGCTGGAGAAGGTGAGCCAACACCTTGTTCTCGCCCTCACATGAGAAATGTAAAGGGGCGCACACATCTGCATAGAGCTTTAAACATTTATTTATTTTTAATCCAGCAACCTGTTTCAGTGTAAGAGTTACCTCATTTGCCTGGACTCTTATTCATTTGATAGGTGGAAATAGATTTTTATGCACCAAGACCTGTTCCTCCCCCCAACAAAATAAGTTGGGCAAACCATGTACATAAAAGCTGAATGCACCAACTGGCATTAACAAGGAGCTTTGGATCAAAACTACAGAAGAGTCAAAACTACAAAAGTATCAAAAACCGTGACAAACAATTGACGATATTTCATTAGCCTCTGCTAAAGAGAAACTGCAGAGAAAAAGCTAAATGAAAAACGTGAAGTTCAATTTAGACAAGCAAGAGAGTTCATAATTATTTAGATATATCTTACCACATATACTGTACGACTATCCACATCTTTAGGCTGCTCACCCAGTGGCTGCCGTCTTCTGATTCTAATTCCTTCTAAATCCAACTATAAGACACAAACCAATTGGGAAAGTCAGTTCCTCCTAAATCCAACTATAAGAAACAAAGCAATTAGGGAACTCTTTCCCTCAATATTTGTTTGCACTCAGACTGACACAAAAACCAAAAGACAAGGTTTTATACTTACCTCTACCACAGATGAACTTTTAACTGCACGTGCTATCAATTTTCTGTCAGTGGTTAGCTTTTTCATTTTGTTAAAAGAAACCAGAAGTGATATGTCAACATCTAGAAATAAACACATTGCAATTAGAATCATAAGAACTGTAGATTTGGAAAGGACACCAAGGGTCATCTAGTCCAACCTTCTGCAATGCAGGAATAAGGTAGGACATCCTGCATCTGATATCCCACCCTCTACTGTGATATGTAACCCTCTCCATCCCCACACGACTTCCGCTGCTTCCCTTGTACTTGACATTTTCTACTATATGATACTTTTCAATGCTCGTTTCCACAAACTTACAGATAATGATAGTGGGAGTAGTCACCAAAATCCCTTTAAGAACCCACAGCAGAATATTTATTGCACACTGGTTCTCTGAAGCACTTCTATAGATGCACATAAAAACATTTGACAAAATTAAAGCAAAGTCAGCATAATAAATAGTGTAGACAATTTTGGTTCTCAGCAGCAAGAAGCATATAAACCAAAAAATATTCTCTTCCCAGGTGTTACATGATAGCAAGGTGTTTTATTTCTAAATTAATTAACTCACAACCATCTCTTGATTTTTCTATTTGTTCTCGAAGAAATCTGTCCTTGTGAAGATTGACATCGCCAAACCAGAAGTCTACTTGCTTTGCTATATCTGAAAGCACCTGTTTAACTCTAGACCTTTTCTTTTTTTCACGTTCCTTTCTTTGTTCAGTGGTTTCTTTTTCCATGGCTTTACTTCTTACAGTTTCAGTTTCCATTTCTGTCACCCTTTCACCTGAAAATGAACATGAAATTATTATTATTTCTAGTCATGGGATTATACTGTGATCCTTTGAACCTTTATAACATTAAGCTCTGTAAAACAATGTTAAATGGGAAAGTTTTATAGAATTCTTACCCTGCTTTCCTCATACAACAAATGTGAAGTATGTGAATGCATTACTGTACTCTTTTTATTGAATCAGAAGCTTAGTAGAAACATTTTCTCCTCTACTTAGAAGGTGGTACTCTAAACACACTGAGAACTAGACAATAAACCAAAGCGGTTTTAAACTGTTCTTGTGTTATTATGTTATGTCTTAATGTTGCTGTAACCTGCCCTGGGACCTTACCATAAAGGGAAGAAAATAAATAAATGTTAACCATTTCTCATTCAATAATTCTTTAAAGCTTTATTTTTATTTTTAAAATTCCTTAATTTTGTTTACAAATGCAACCCTTGCACAGAAACATCAGTAGTATTGGTTGCTTCCATATTATGGCCCTTTTGCACCACTGAGGCACTGCTTTCTGAAATCAGCTTAAAGCAAAATTAATAGCAGTGGTCAAGATAGCACTTAATAATATAAAGATCCTTCTAATGGTTACTCAGGTCAGTTCCACTCAAAAAAGGTTCTCTGCAAGTTTTGTCATAAGAGAGAGAAAAAGAGAAATTAAAGACCTCCATCACAAGAGCCGACTTTAAAAAGTAATCTATAGTACAATCTGATATATGTCTATTCAGAAGAAAGATTCATTCATCATTTTAAGGCAATAGAGTATATGATTGCAGATATAAGAGAGGCTATTCAAAGAGAAGTAACAGGCTGTTCATCAAGTAGAGGAGAAAAAAATTGCGCTCTGCTTCTTATGTGCACAATGTCTTAACAAAAATACAACAGCTATAATAGCTACTTCATGCAATAATCATTCTGACAAAAGCCCCTGCATCTTAAAATGCAGCAATATCTTGATGAGAGACCCTACAGACTACAACATGAGTACTTCTACATGGAAGAGGAGTGAAGCTCTTTTTCTGCTATGAGCTGACTATTCAAGATGATTAAGGTCAACATGTTTCCAATTATAGTTTCCAGTGATAAATGAGATCATGCTGTGTTTACTAGGGCAGAAATGCAACATAGGTACAACTCTCTCCCACTAAGATCTTTGGCTTACCAAAATGTCAGTACTGGATTTAACCACATAATGAACATAGGAAATTTATTCTAAAAACAGAAGGTACTGACCACCATACATAGGGCTAATTCAAACTTAATCACAGATGTGTAAGAACCACAATATAGGCAACATCTACATGTCATATTTCTTGGAAACTATAATACTGCAATACTGGAAACTGCTCTCTTGCAGTTATGAAAGCTTTAATAAACGATTATGACAAATTCATAGGTTAATCTATTCATGTCTGAAAGTAGGATGCAGCTTTTATGTTAGACAAAGTATTCTTTGATAATAAATTGCTGGATACAATAAGTCAGGATATGTGCATTGCTATCATGCCTTGTTTGTGAGTGTCTAAAGATATTTGGATGGTGATTTCTGGATAAAGAATGCTGACAACAAATCAGACCTTGGAATGATTCACCAAGGCAATTTCCTATTGTTGAGCAAGTAATTAAGGCAAAAGGCCACTGCACAATTAGTAGTCTAGCTTCAAAGAGAATCATTAAAGCAGCTATGCAAATAGATGTCAATTTTACAGTTTGTATTCTTTTTCTAACCTCTGCCCCAAGAATACTTAGGTTCAATTCAGATGCACCATCCAACCATGATTTATCATTTGGCCTTGCACATACCTTCAGTCCTCTTAGGAGCAGTTTCCCTCCTTCACTTACTGGTACTATTCACTAACCATCGTTTTCTGTGACATCCAAATGGGTGAAGACAGTTTTACTGCATTAGAAAAACACTTCCATCTTTCCAGGATACTATCAATTTGCTCACCATATTTCATCCACATAAACATTGGTTAGCAATAATCCTTCTTGAAGTGAACCTGAGATCTTATGTTGTGTGCTCTGAATTACATCCTTACTGTGGAACTTGGGAATGCTTCTAGGCCAGTCAATTATACTGATTCTGATACAAACTTTCCAGCTGATGACCTACTGTCATACTGTAACAGGCAAGTGTTGTTTCTTATGCACATTTCCCAACATGTCTCCTCCTCGAGATACACACCAGGTTGAAGAGAGTTCCTCATACCCCAAAATGATTAAATGTAGTGCTTATTCTGGTTTCAGTGGAATAATTCTAATCTTTGTTAGTAGCTTCCTCACCTAGATCTCAGTTTATTTGTGTACCACATAAGCACAATTAGTCTTGCTCAGACATGTTCTCTCTCCCCACCCCCACCCATTTCAAAAGTACATTTTTTTTCAATACTCCACAAAACAGAAAAATACAAAAGCAGTTATCCAACCCCCACATCCACATTGCCACACGCCAGGTAGGGCACTGGTGGGCAGTTAAATCAACTTTGGTTTCAATTTTCCCTGCCTTCGGATTGCACTCCTAATGGGTAACAAGAAATGCTACAAACCCCACGCACATTTACTCAGGAGTTAAGCCGCACAGGACAGAGCAGCATTTATTTCTGAGCAAACATGCGTACGGCTGTGTTATACATGATTTTTTTTTTCGGGGGGGGGGGGCTCTCCGGATGTAGAAACGTTGAGACTGCTGTTTCCCAGTGAGCCAGATGATTTTAAAAGCATCTGATTTACGCTGGGCAGAGTCAGGTTCAGATTTCCACTCACTGGATAATCTTAAAAATCTTACTAAGCCGAGAGTCTACCTCATAGGGTTGTTTGTGAGGACAAAACAGTGGCTGTACCATATACCGTACACCCGAGCTCCTTGGAAAAAAAGCAGAATATAGTTAACAGCTCTTTAATTTATATTGTATTAGCATATTGTATATCATTAACTCTGCGCTTCACAAGGCGAGAGAAGGGCGACGAGGCGACCAGCAAAGCACCTGAGTGACGCGCCCGCCTCGCGTCTCCTCAGCTTTAAGAACGACCGCGAGACACATTCCCGCCGCCCCGCCCGTGACGCAGCACTCGCTGAAAGTTATTCCTCAGAGCGGCACAGCCAAGGCAAGCGCATGCGCGGACGTCACTGCAACGACCCGAGTCCTTTTAAGACGAGGAAGAACGGTTCACGCGACTCCAGTTTTAACCCGCCTCTTTAGCGCTCAACCCGCTTCGGGACTGACCTGATACCCCGAGACAGGGTGAAGATGCGGGTCAACGTCACGGACACGAGGAACAAACACCGCTTCTAAGGCCTGGAAGAGCGCCGCTCCTCTACCTTCCACGCCCCCCCCTTCCTCTGTCACGCTGTACTGTTAAATTCTCGCGCGATGCGCGGCAGACCTCGGCCTTCTCCGGCCCTATTGGTTACCAGGAGCTCGCTTCTGCGCAGGCGCGCGCGCGCGATACTTGCGCATAGAGATAAGTGTAGACTGACACCAAGCCTCCAAGAAATACAAAATTAAAAAAGGAGGTCCTTTACGTTTCCCTTTGGGAGCAAAAGTAGTACTGTTCTGTCCATAGGCATCTCCATAGTAACTACCCTATACAATTCCAATACAAATTACAGCGCAAAACCTTTCATGGAGACCATTTGGTTTTACGTTCAGAATGCTGCAGACCGAATGCTGTTTTTGTCTCGCCGCATAATCCTACACAAATTCATATTAGGTCGACGCCGCTCAATACCTTCCTAGCAGTGGAAGTGCTCAGAGGTACTCATCCCGACAGCCACAATCCTATGCACGTTTTACTCAGAAGCAAGCTCCTCTCAGTTCAGCGGGGCTCCTCCCACAGTTTAAAACCTCACTTTGCTGCGTGGATCTATCACCTATTTCTCTTCCCTTCTGGGGGTGGGGCAAAGCGACGTTTCCTATGGCGCCCGCTCTATCCGCGCCGACTCTATGATGCACGCTTCGCCATTGGCTGACTGCATTGGAGACGCTCCTCGGCGTTAGGCTCTCTCGGCTGACCCTCGCGTCGCGCAGAGAGGGCGTCATCGTCGTCAGCTGGCGGAGCGGGAAACTTCAGAAACTGGGAGAAACTGCGTCGGGTGTGGGCGGGAGAGAGAGAGAGAGCCAGGCCGAAGCGCGCGACTGCGGTTAGGGCTCGCGAGTGAGTCGCTCTCTTTTCTGAAGGCAGCCGGGCTCGGAAGCCGAGTCTTCGGTTCGTTCGTTCAACTTTTGTCGAGGGTGGCCGGCCGGGGACAGCGACTTCGGGGGGCGGGCGGGATTTATTTATTTATTGAATTTATATACAGTACCACCCTATACCCGGAGGTTTCGGGGCGGTTCACAGAACAAAATCAAAATATAAAACCACGAAATATATAATCAAAATAAAACAACAACAATCCAATAACCCCCCTCCCCAAGAAAAGCCACCTTTTAAAAGAACATAGGATGTCAAGATTACTTGTCCTAACCTACCTCACAGGATTGTTGTGAGGAGAGAGAGAGAGAAAGGAAGCGCGTAGGGGGAGAGAATGACTTATGCTTCCTTGAATTCACTGGAGGAAAGCTGGGATGTAGATATAATAATAAAATAATAAACGAAATGGCAGATGTGGCACAGTGCTGTCACTTGCTCACTAGGATGGGGTGGGACGAGGCAGAGTGGCGGCAAGGCCAGAGAAAAGCACTGCAATAGTGCTACTCTTTCCTTGCACTGCCCCATCTCTTTCCCTTATTAAATATATTTTTCAACTGCTTGAGCGTTTTTAAAAGTTTCAAAACAAAAATGAGTATTGGAGAAGGATGGGCAGAAGGTTGGCTGGGATCTAAAGTATTGGTAGATATCTGGGCGATTTGAAGTAGATTGGTAAGATTTTCTAATGCTAATTGTTCGGCAGTAGCAACAGCAAAATGATCCTCCCCAATTATACTAAGGAAATGACAAAAGTACTGCAAACTCCATCCAGTTTGTCAGAACAAATCTATGTGTTTAGAGTTCCAGAATTCTAAGTGTATGTATTTTGCACCTGTCTCTCGCTGATGGATCTGATTGATCTCAGGGTCCTTTATTTTCTATTAGTACATCCTGCCATCTGTTGATCCCTGTTTTAGAGGAGATAAGTGTGTGATACATTGATTTCAGCAGGGTTCAGGACTTGGCTGCGCTCTCTCACTTCCCTTGTTCCCAAAAGAAACCTTTTGCCTGCTGCTGATAGTCCTGTAAACATTAATGGTATCAGTACTAAATGACTTTTTTATAAATGATATTTCTCATTAGAAGTGATTATTCCCATTTTAGATTTGTGGTCAATGAACTCAACTAGTTAGCAGATTAATCAAGATATCATTTTACAGATTTAATGTTTTTTAAGAGAAACGTACTGTATTGAAATGTGAGACACCTTGTGGTAGTTATATGAAATTGAGGCTAACTTAAAGAAAACACTTTGCTTTAGATTACTGTAGAATCTTTAAAATCAGCAAAGCTCAACATTAATTTTTAAACTAAGGGTCTGCTGTTGATACAGCTGATGAATGTCTCTTATGCTTAACTACTAAGGTATAAGTTCTTTACAAACTAAACTGGAACTAAGCTCCATTGAAAAATGGACATATATAGGATTACACTGAGAAGACATAAATGAGATTGTACTTTAAATTGCTTTTTTAACTTCAAGGAATTTGGATTGCAGTTAAGGGGTTATGGAATGAGTTATAGGAAATATTTATTTAAAAGGGAATGCATGTGTGTCCGTGGTTTCTGGACATTAAGTTCAATTGCTTTAAACAGGATATTATTTCTTTCAGATGGTATGAAATTTGGAAGTGCAAGCTAGCTGTGATGGCTTCTCAGGAATTTACTGTGAGTTTCTGATATTTCAACAATATATTATATATAACAATATTCCACATACATCAGGATGACATGGCATTTTATAAACAATAAAACATCTTTGTCACTCCATTCAGCCCCAGAAAAGCCCTCTGAGATGGCTCACAATCATCAATTAAAAGTATAATAGGATGAAATATAATAAAATTAATTTTGAAATGTCACTGAAATGTTTGTTTATATATCAAAACAGGTTTTATACACACACCAAAAGACTAAAAAATCTAAAGTGTGGCAAGACGGAATTTTGAAGTCCCTTCTAGGGGGCAATAAGGTAAAATATTGATTAATAAAGTATTATACTGATACCATCTGTGGGTGTTACTGTTTTGTTGCTCAATGAAATACCATTCTATTTTTCTTTCTGCTGTAATACAGGCAACTTTATGTGATGACAAAGGACAGGTTTTGGATAGCATATTTGTGAAGTTCCAGGTACATGCTTTTAATTTTCCTTAATTTTTTTTACTTGATTAGCAATTCTGGAAGACAGGTTGCTTGTTTAGTTGATCCAATCTCTGCTGGCTTATCTTGGTCACATTTGTTAAGGCCCATGGAAGGGAAAGAAGAAAGCCAGCAGGGTTTAAAGTGCCTGCTGTTGCTGTCCAAAGTGCCAGGAAAAAACACAGCATTTTTTTGCCGTTATCTTCCTGGTGCTTTGCACAGCAGCAACAGGCACTGATATTCTTTCACCCCCTTCCTCCTCAGGGATAGGTGTGGGTGGGGATGAAGCTTTCTTTTTCTCCATTGTTGAGGATGAAGGAGGAAATGAAAACTTCAAACCTTCAATTTGGTATATATACACATTGCATATATAACGAAATGGTGGAAGTTGTATTAATGCATTATGTGTTGCATTCAGTATGCATTCATATATACTCACTACTACATATTTATCTCTTTAGGTAAAGCCGGGAGATGATTTAGAAAGTGAGAAATATTTAATCACAGTTGAAGCTGAGAAAACTTCTGAAACTGGTTTTAGTGATCAGCCAAAGAACACAGAAGTACCAGTGTTAATAAGAAATCATTTGAAGTCTTCTGCCTCTTCATCTCTGCGTCTGCCAGTTGGCCTAAAACGAAAACATACTGTATGTCATTCTTTCTCCCTCTCCTTTTTACACTCACACAATGTAGAAGGAAGCCTTTTGAATAAGTGAGAGAGATAGAGATCTATAGCTAGTTAGAAATTTTTTTGGGGGGAGAGTAAAAAAACCCAACTCTGATTTTTTACAATTTGAACTGCATGTGACAGTTTCATTGATGATCATTTTCATCTCTAGCCTCTTAAGTACAAAGTGTGTTACAATATAAGGTGTCCAAAGTCACTTACTATATTGCTCATTGGATAACACCAGTAATTATAATGCATAATCAGGCAAGTGAAACACAGTAAATGGAAGCAAATTGTGCAAGGGGATCCATCAGCTATAAAGTAGGAAGTACTTTGTGGACACTGAGTAATCGAGTGGGGTGCCCATGCCCAGGCTGAAAGTTACTCTTGGGGGAATGTGCCTCTTGGGTTGTAAAATCCATATAATACATGGAACTGCACATCATTGTTTCATGGGCTCAGGTGGGGGCCCTCTTTACTATTAAGGAGATTGTAAAAGTTATTTTATCCTACTTAGATGTACTCAGCTTTTGTTACATGAAAAACACGTGCTTTTCAGTCTTTTTAGTTTAGCGATTCAGTAAAATATTGCATCATAAATACAGAAATATAGTACATATTTCTACTTCTTAATTCTAAAACTTCAATTGTTAAACTTCCCACAAACTGAAAATATTCTCTTCTTAGGGTTTCCAAGGGCCACGGCAGGTGGAAAAGAAAATGACAACAGTGGAAGTATCTGCAGCAGTAGCATCACCTTCATCCAAGGATCCTCATTCATCCTTCCCTTCTCAGTTCTATGCCAGTTCCCCTTTATTTTCTGTCCCTTGCAAGACTAAGTTACACTCAGAATTGAATCAGAGCGCTTTCAAAGTGAATGGCTCAGATGCTGATTCTGTCATTCCATCCGCTTTTACTCACAAAGTGGTACAAAGTAGAATCCTTAGTACTGATGGTGAAGCTGCTGAATATTTGAAGCCAGGAGTTCAACTGGATAATGGAATGGGCAAATCAATCTACCATGCAAGTAACAGTGTGGCAGTTTTGCAGAATGCCAGGAGTAAAGCACAAATCTTAGCAATTCTGAGCGGGGGACAAAAACATTCTAAAGTTTCAGAGGATGAAACTGATATATCATTGGGAAATCAATCACCAGCATTGATGAAATCAGAATTCCATCAGGAAGGCTCACTTTTATCTGAATCATCAAGAAGCACAGAGTCTTTCTGCAAAGAAAAGATGGCATCTCTTTTGAGCTCTGCAAACAACACAACCAAAGAAACCATTAAATACATAGCACCACTGCATTTCTCAGAAAAAAACGTAAAAACAAAAAGCCGATGGGATGTATATTTGCCATTGTCTTTAGCTGAAAAGTCTCCTGACAAAGTTGAGGGAGAATACAATGATAAGAATGCTAGCGATCTTCAGGACTTGAAGGAAGATGGCACTGATAATAGGAGCCAATGCACTGAGGACCATAAAAAATTTCCAGAAGTGCCTGTTTCCTTGAAAATCAATATGTCTCCTGTCAGTAATAGTTCTGTCAAACACCAACCACATAGTATTGTACCAGCTGAATCAATCGTGTGGAAAGAGAATTGCACAGTTTTATCATCTGTTGGTAGTATGAATTACTCAGATTGTAATGCTGATAAACTCTCCACATCCAATAAATGCACAGAGATTGATAATTTGGATCAGCCACAAAATGAATCTCATCCAGTAATATGTTCTGAATGTTTCTCAAATAATTCTGCAGATGGAGAGTTTGGTGACACAGAAAAGCAGTTTATAGAGGTTAACTTCAATCTGTTGGATACACTAGAGTTTAGTGACACAGAGGGTGGAAAACTTCATACCAACCACACATTTTCACAAGGTTCAGCATGCTTTAAAGAGGAAACTGAAGCACCATTTGATACTGGTGTTCAAGTGCACAGTAACATAAAAGCTTGTAGTAGTCAAGGGGAAGATAATGTGCAGCCCACATTTCTGCAAGATGGAGGTATGAATTGTGTCTCAGAATGCCAGTCACTGCAAGTTTGTGATGAAATCTCTGAGGAACCTAACAAGAAGGAGGAAAATAGTGCAACTCTTCCATTTCTTAAAAAGCTGCCACATTCAGAGGCTATGATTGTTGATGAAAGGGTAGAGACAAATGCAATAAATATCCAAAATATATGTAATCACAGAGATCTTGGTACAGACTTGTTAATGGTGAATGATATGGACTGTGATGTGAATGATAGTGAATATCCTAATCCAACAACTTGTCTTGCAAAAGGGAATGTTCCTGCTATTTTACATGGTTGCCTCATGGACAAAAGTAATGAAGAAGGTACTGAGGTTGAAGCAGGTAATTCCCAACCTAGTTCCTTAGGTATTTGTCATAACAACATGAAACAGAGCAACCATTTGCTAGTTCTCACTGAAAAATACAATATTTCTCATGGTTCCCCTCAGTATATTTCAGACAAAAATGATGCTGCTTCAGAAAAAAATCTGGATTTGAGGCAACTCCCTCATCCCTTAACTTGTGAGACTTCAGATGAATCACAAATGGATCAAAATGAAAATGCAGTTAATAACTTGGATTTTTTTAACAAGTTCAGTAAATATGAAGGAAAGGATTCTATTTGTGTTGAATCTTCACTTGACTCTTCAAGCCTTCCCCAGCTGGTAAATGGTTTCAGCCTGTTAAAATCACTTACAGAACATAGCACAGCCTTAGAAAGCCTGCAAATGATAGAGGAAAGTACTTCTTTGCTACCGAGGGAGAGACTAAGAAAAAAACAAAAGCCAACAGGACCTGAAGGTTATTAGCTTCTATTATTTATTTTTTTGAATTTTGTTTTGAAATATTGATTGCACTTTTCTACTGGTTTTCCTAGTTCATTTTTCTAGTATGGAAATGTATGGCAAGCTAATTCATTGTCAAAAGCAGTTTTGTTCTGCATGTGAAACAGTCTCTTTGATTATCCTGAAATAAAAGAGATAATACCTTACTTTAGAATAGGGATGGGGAATCTGTAGCCCTCCAGATGTTGTTGGACTTCCAACTCCCATCATCCCTCCACTGAGCATTCCTAAGGAAATGTCTTGTCCATGGTGAGATCATGTTTTGTTTTGCTCCAAACAAACCACACTATACCCAAGGTTTGTTATTGGCTTTCCAATAGGAGTTTGGGTGAAGCAAACCACAATCCACTTTGGACATAATGGTAAGCTAGGGATCATGGTTTGGTTTTTTTCATGTGCTTGTGGGGAGGAGCAAAACAACCAAGTCCAGCAACTTCATGGTAAACAGATATGGTTTACGGTAACATCAAAACAAGACCAGTGGATTTCTTTGCAGCATGTTTGTCACTGATGTGGCTAATAATGCTAAAGTAAAATATGTGTAGTTAGCACCTAACATTCCTATAAGCAATAGCATTGACTTTGAAAACATCACTCAACTTGAATGCAAGATCTTCAATATTTTTTATCACTGAACTAGCTTCATGACTGAGCCTTATTGTGCTTTTCTTTCTTTTGTAGCTATGCAACAGTTTCCTGAAGTTCCCTTTTCTGAAGATGTGCAGATAACATCTTGCCTGCATTCTGCTTATCCTAAAATGGTAACCTTTTGGACTTTGTAATTCATCACTAATAGCTTTTATGTAAATATCTCATTACACAAGCTGAAGGCCCATCTACTTGTGTGTATTTTCCACCTCACTGTCGTCTTCTGTGTTCCTATCAGCCACCCCCTCTGAACGCCTGAAAACTGGCTGCAGAGAGTAAGAGGCCCTCTACAGCAAGTTTTGTGAGATGGAATAAAAATTGCCAACACTACTGCACACACATTACTGCATAAAAATAAAAATAATAGTAATCATCACCATAAATTGTGGGTATTGGAAAAAACGTATTTCATTTGATAAGTTCACTGCATCATCGTGTTAAAGAAAATTTTGAAATGAGATGGTTTGTGGGAGAGGATTGCAGTAGGTAAAGGACAATATAGAACATTTGCTCTACTCCAGTATGGAAATTCATTTTTCCTACACAAATGTAAAATAGATTTGTGGGGCTTTTGCTCAGATATAGTTGTTTTAAGAAACTGTAAATTGTATTGCCTTTCAGCCTTCTGAAGGCAATGAGCTGGTTGTACAGTGGTGCCTCGCAAGACGAAAAGAATCCGTTCCGCAAGTCTCTTCGTCTTGCGGGTTTTTTCGTCTTGCGAAGCAAGCCCATTAGCGGTTTAGCGGATTAGTGCTACAGTATTAGCGGCTTAGCGGGCTTAGTGGATCAGCTGATAAGCGGCTTAACTCATAAGCAGCTTAACGATCAGCTGATAAGCGGCTTAGCATCAGCTGTTAAGCGGCTTAGCCATCAGCTGATAAGCGGTTTAGCAGCTTGGGAAAAAGGGGGGGGGAGGAAAAAAACCCCGCAGGAACTCGCAAGACATTTTCGTCTTGCGAAGCAAGCACATAGGAAATTCGTTTTGCGAAGCACCTCCAAAACGGAAAACCCTTTCGTCTAGCGGGTTTTCCGTCTTGCGAGGCATTCGTCTTGCGGGGCACCACTGTATTATATCACCGCATTACAAAATGAGACTGTGCTAAGTACAGAATGGTGCATCCTTCTCTTGACCCATTTCTGATCATTTCCAGGATACTTCCTCAAACACTGATGCAGAGAAGCCCACAGCAGCTACAGTAAACATGCTACATGACCAGGTTCCTTTTGAAGTGGCTGACAGTCAAACGAAGGTATAGCTTACAAAGAGATGACTTGGAAAACCTCCCACAGCCAACACCTCCAAAACTTTCACTGCCTCCATGCACCTCAGGACCTTCTCAGACTACTTTTGAAACTGGAATTTTTAAACAGCAGTTTGTAATATGACCTGGAGGGCCAGGTGTTCAGCAATAAGAAGTAAAAAGTTCCACAGTCTGCATTAAAGTTGCCATCTTATCTCTTATTTTATCATTGAAGGTTAATTTTCAGTGGTATAATGAATAAGTATTCTTAGGATGGCCTCCTAACCTCTGATGTTGATGGCTGAGGTTTGCTTAGAATAGTTGTTAGGCTTCTCTCATCCAGCAGAGATGAGTAGAAAGCCTTGGGGTGGGGCTGGAATATGGATCTGTTGAGTGGCCCAAAACTCAGGCTTGTTGACTCCGGGCTGGTGTACCAAAAATGTGTGAAAATCCAACTCCCACCTTCTACCCTGGCAGGCCCAAGCAACAAATGTGTGGTGCTAAATTGTAGTTCTTTGTTCTCCTATGATTTCCTTTTATTAATCTATCTCTTAAATATATGTAGCTAGTTGAATTTCAAGGGTACCAAGTGAGAGGATCTGCAGCTAGTGAGATAATGATGAGAGTACCCTCTTCACATCTTAGATGGGATCCACAGGCTGATATGACAGAATTTGAACTTGCTACAAAGGATGGCTGTTTTTTCTCAGCCCAAGAACTAGGCAGCCCTGTGCTGCCTGGCTTTATTCAGGTAAACTGTAGAATGCTTTTTATAGAAAGCTTTATTTAATCAATGAACATATGGCAAAAATGTGAAATAATTTATTAAGTGATCATAAACATGTTTTAAAAGACTACATGAAAGTTGCAAATAAGGACCTCAGTTGGCCCATTCCTGACATAAATCTGTCAATGACTTCTCTGAAAACGTGTTCCTATACTTAATTCCCTTGGTCCTTCTGGTGCATTAAACATCTTCCTTAATATGTACATGGTGCCACCTTTTAATCCCTCTTCAAAATTCACTGTTTCTGCAAACCCTGGTTTAGTCTGAATTTTCATGGGGTAGTCAAAAACAATTATGTGTAGCTGTACCTGCTCACATCTGTCATTTCCTAGGCTTCTTTCTCTCTTCATTTTGTTATTTTTCCCTGTGTTGATTTCAGATTTTCTCCTGTTTTGGGGAGTAAGGACCCTGCTTTCTTTTCTTTTCTTTTCTTTTTTCTTTCTTTTGCTTGAAACTCTGTAAAGCATTGTTTGAAATTTCTGTTGCATGACCAGAAGCCTGTTCATGTGATGTTTGGGTATCATTCATTATCATTGTTTTGTTTTTGTTTTTTTGTAATTAAAAGTAATGTGAAAGATCTAAGTTCATTCAACTGGGTGTGCTTGATTTTTTAGCTTTACAATTGTTTCTCTGCCATCTTCACAGCCTCCAGACTGCCACTTTCCCCCAAATTCAAGCAGTGAAAAAGCAGTGATAGAAGCAGATGAAAACAATTTCCTGGTGACAAGGGTATCTCCAGATTTACCTATGGACAATGCAAAAAGCTTTTTCCGTAAGAATGTTTTGTTTGTTATTGTTGTAAATAATGGTTGTGCCAGCAGACATAGCAAGGGGGGAAAGTATGCACCCTTGTGCAAAAGTTGGCTTGCAAGTGTTGAATACCAGAGTGATAGATTTCAGATTCTTATAGCCTTGCAATGAGATAATATGTACATTCTGAGCATTCTCAGCCTGCTTTGATTACATGTACATATTGTAAGCTTATAGACAATGGGATTTGTTTTTCTGACTTAGAATTGTTATTGGAACAAACAACTTGGGCTCTGCCTCCCCACCCCCCATGAGTGGAAGAGATCCTTCTGCTCATGGAAGGACATCTTTTGTGAGTTCCATTCTTCTTCTATGAACAGATGCTTCTTTCATTCATTGAGTTTAAGATTAGGATCCAACCAGTGTTTCCTCCCATACCTCAATTATTTTCCCTAGTATGAAACAGTTAACAAGTGAGAATCTAAAACATAGTGTTCTGGTGTATCCCCAGCTCATAACAAGAGTGCTCCTGTTTAGGATCTCAGCCACCCTAGGAAAGGAGTCCTTTATGAGTTGGTGAAAGGAGGAAGGAGACCCCTTTCCCCCATCCTATCCTTCTGAAACCTTCCTCTGTTGTTGCTGTATATCACTGAATGGCACTGGCTGAGGTCTGACTATCAGCACTGAGCTGTCCCAGTCGTACCTTGGAAGCCGAACGCCTTGGCTCCCAAACAAATCGGCTCCGGAATGATCGAAACCTGGAAGTGACTGTTTTGAACTATTTTCAAAAGCTGAACGTCCAGCACAGCTTCTGATTGGCCGCAGGACATTCCTGCAGCCAATCAGAAGCTGCGCTTTGGTTTTTGAACGGTTCCGGGAGTCGAATGGATTCCTGGAACGCATTCTGTTCAGAAACCAAGGTACCACTGTAATCAAGATACACATTACTATCCACATCAAGAACCTTTTCTCAGTTAACTGGCTATGCTAGGTTTGTCTTAATCTTTTGAGTAAGAAATGCAAATACAGCCAAAATCTTTGCTGTAGAAAAGTCAAGATTTAAGGAAATCGGAGTAGAGCGCCCAGGAAACTTGGAGGGAAGACATTGCTTTGAATATTGACACTTCATAAAACTTTCTGCTTCATAGAGATGGAAGAGTCCAGCTGCCCAGAAGATGGTGATACGTCTATACTCTTACTACCCCTTAGAGCACGAACTCCAGTTGTGACTGTACCTGTAGATGGAGAAGTTCCTGACTTAGTTTATTCCAGTGGAAAGACATGTGAGCGAGGCCGGCAGTCCTTTGGTTTCTCAGGAATAAGCATATATGGCAAGTCAAAAATATTAGGGCCTGAGGACAGGATGTGTGAAACCTTTGTGCATGAAAAGTGTAGAGAAGAAAGACATGGGGTGATCACACAGTCTGCATTCCCTAATGTATCAGAACAAAAGAGACAAAGCAAGTGGCAGAAGTACCAAAACACAACTCATAGTGACTTGAGAACTCAAAACAGCAGCGAAGTGGTCATGACTGATGACATCCGAGCTGAGAGTGCCTTTGGAATGCTACTGCATGACATAGGAGAGGGTTGGAGTCATGCCATCAATGAAAGCCCTCCAGACTTTGGGCATCCGCAGATGCTGAAAAGCGTGCTTTGTAAACAGCAGCGAAACTTTAGCAGCCAAGATTCTGTTTCAGAAGGACAGAAACTTTCTCTGCACTTAAATCAGAATTTTTCCACTGAGGAAGGACTAAAGGTGCTAGGTCAGCTGAATTGCCACAGTTCAACCAGACACACCAAGGTATATAACTGTTCACAAAAGTCTTAGGAATAGATTTTGCCAAAGCAGCTTCCAAAAATAGTTGTGAATATTTGATAGTTTAGTCATATGTTCATCTATAAAGTGGTTTGTTTGTTTTTTACATATTCAAGTAGCATTTATGGCTCAATTTGAAATATTATATAAAGGAAATCAACCCTGATCTTGCATTTTTTTGTCTACATCAAAAAATATTTCACTATAGAACATCAGGTTCCTGACAATGCTTCTCTGACAAAGTCCTTGACCACCCACAGAAGTGGCCCAGTGGAGGTGGGAGTTATATGTCCTTGTACTGCATTATGGTCCTTAGGGTTGCTGCTTTTCTTGATTGCAGAAATGTAAAAGGGGCTTGCAAGCATCCTCTTCCTCTTGTTCCTGCTCAGTGTTTTGACTCAGCAGTGCAGCAAAGAACTGGACTGTCTCCCCTTGTATATGCATTGTCATGTAGTGCTGCAACCAGAGCAATCTGACAAAAGTCCCCTTTGCTATTCACAAGATATCCTGCAGGTGGTGATGTATTTGAAGAGAGCTGAAAACCTGTTGCCATAGCAGTAGTTTTCCCACAGCTATGGTGACAAGTCTTTGCTCACCCAATCACTAACTGTGGCTCTGAGAAATGGAGAAGTAAATAGGCAGAAAGAATGCAAACATGAGTATAAATATCCCCATGATTGCAGTTTGTGGGATATTTAATGTCAGTGTGGAATAAGAGGGTGGTCAGTGCTCTAATTCTAATATGATATGCCTGAATATATGTTACCCATGTATTAAATCAGATGGAAAGGAAATATGATTTTACATGCATACCTTTTATTTATATTTCAGAACACCTGTGAATTGTTCTTTCCCAGTGTAGAAATGGTGAACTCTACCAATGTTCCTAAGAGACAGATGTATATCCCAGCTGAGTTTCAGTCTCCTGCACATTATAAGCAGGTTTTTACTTCTGCTTTGATGGGTATGACTAACACCTTTAATTTCCACATTGCAGTACATTCACTGATGGTTGTTCTTAGAGGGCAACATAATCTGAGATAAAATATTGAGTGAGCATCCTCATAACAGTTTTTTCAAAAGTTGCCACATGGATTTGGCCTTCAAAAACACATTATCAGCCACCTCTGTGTTTGCTTGTGCAGTCTAAATTGCACCATCTCAGAAAATCTCACCTGTACCATTCTGTGCATTGTTTTCATTTTGGGTTAAAAGCAATCAAAAGCTCCCTGTATTTTAATGGAGAAGCAATGCTGGAGAAGAGGATGTTTAACTGCTTTGTTCCATACCACTTTCCCAGTCTAAATTGCTTCTTGCAAGCTGCATTTCTCTCTCTCTCTTCCCACCCCCACCAACCAAAATTAACAAACTTTTAGGGGACCAATTTAGAATGGGCAGAAGGATTAAATTTCCCATAATTGCTGTTCACCCCAACATTTAAGTGCAAATTTGTTTTTAAGTGCAAATAAGACCATCAGGAGTTCTAACTATGGTTCCTCAGCATAATACGTAGTTTTCCTTGGGAAAAACAAATGGTATACCAAAAGATACATGACTGAAGCAAGGAGCCCATAATATACAGTATGTTACATATGAAGTACGAATGAAAAAATTATAAAAGCCACAAACCCATGGATAAGCAGAATGCAGGACTTTGGCGTTATTTAGATGCTTCATTGCCAGTGCTCTGGGAGTAGTTGAACTGCAGTTGCTGAGCTTGGAAAACCTTCAAAACATTTGCTATTGTTCAAAGTATTGAACCTAAAATTGTGGAAAACGTATTTGATTCTTCCTCTAAGTCAGCAATCACTATACGGTCAAATAATTCCAGGGTGTTTCAGCCACTGCCTGAAGACGAATTCGCAAGTTGTTATTTCTGGGGAGCCACTTTGTGGTAACTATTTATTTACTTACTTCATTTATGAATTGCTTCCTATGCAACGTTCTGAAGTGATTTATCCATAAAAACATCAACAACAAAAAACCCATTTAAAAACAAGATCAAGTGCAAAACAGGTATAAACTGGGGGCAAAACTCTCCAATTAAAAGGCTTATTGTAAAGGGAATGTCTTCAGCAGGCACCTGTTTCTCATGTAATGGGAGTTCCAAATGGTTGGTGCTGCCACACTAAGGCCCAATTCCTACAGAGTATAGAATTGGCTTCCTGGTTGGGTACATAAAGGGTGAGATGGTCTTTTAGGTACACTGGTCCCAAAGTGTGTATGACTTTCTACCAGTCCCTTGAACTTGGCCAATTGACTAACTGGAAGCTAGTACAATTCTTCCAAGTGTGGTGTAATATGATGGTGATATTCTGCCCCAGTTAGCAGCCAAGCCACTGCATTTTGCACTAGCTGCAGCTTCTTGAGCCAATCCCACAGGTAGTTCCACATGGCACATTTCAGTAATCCAAACTGGTGGTTACCAAAGCCTAGATTTTAGAAGTGATTCCATTACCTTTAAAGAGTCGCAATGAGAAACTGGTTAGATTTCTGGAGGAGCTCAAATTAACAATATTTGACACACAAAGGAGTTGTATTTACAGTTAATAGGTTCTCCCCACTACACTGAACTTTTTTTAAAAAAAATACTTTTTATTGTTTCTATTTTGTGTAAAGAACATTTAAACATATTGCTGTTTGAGCTGTCGCAAAAACTACACCGAGCTCTGGAAAAAGTGGATATATCCTTCTATACCTCAGTGAAAAGGGGGCAAGGACAAGAGAATTCAGCCCCACTCTGCAACCACAAGATGGCGAGTAAACTTGTTACGGTTAAAAAAGAAGGTCGAAATAAGGTAAGTTTCTTGAGTAATCTCAAGTGTACTCTACAGAAATATTACAATACATGCTGAAGGTCATTTCATACATAAGTCCATAGATTTATATATTTTTGTAAAACTGAGTGGTTAGAATATCTAAATTGCTGCATATAGAATTGTGTTTAATGAATGAGCTTACATTTTTATCATCTACATCAATATTATTAAAAATGATTAATTACTATGACAGTGGGGGGGGGGTTGGAAATCATAATAATGAGATGCTGTAGTACCCCACTCCTATGCTAATTTATTTGGATTGAGGTCCCCCTGATTTCAATGCAACATATTTCAGAATAAATGGGTTCAGGGCACAACTAGATGTAATAATGGGTTGCATTCCTGGTTTTGTTTATTTCGCTGCTAAGCATATGCTATGTTAGTTTTCAATACAGTGGTGCCTCGCAAGACGAAATTAATCCGTTCCGTGAGTCTCTTCGTCTTGCGGTTTTTTTGTCTTGCGAAGCACGGCTATTAGCGGCTATTAGCGGCTTAGCGGCTATTAACGGCTTAGCGGCTTAGCGGCTATTAACGGCTTAGCGGCTTTAAGAAAAAGGAAACAAACTCGCAAGAACTCGCAAGACGTTTCGTCTTGCGAAGCAAGCCCATAGGGAAATTCGTCTTGCAGAACGACTCAAAAAACGGAAAACTCTTTCGTCTAGCGAGTTTTTCGTCTTGCGAGGCATTCGTCTTGCGGGGCACCACTGTAGTGTGATTGGTTTTTTTTCAGGGTGTTGTCCAAAAAGTGGGGGGCTATTTCTGGATCTGTTAATCTTGGGAGTGTTCTCAGTCATTGATTAATGCAGCTAGAACTTAACGGGATATGACTTTTCAAGAGTACTATCCACCCAATGTCAAGCTCTTTTAAGGCTCATTTATGTCAAGGGCAGTTGGGAATGGGTTTCAAGATGTGAGAACTGTAAAGTGCTTAACTTTGGCTGAATCGTGGATAAGGGATAAAACTGCAGAAAGTTACACTTGACATTGGCAAGTGGGTTAATGATCTCTATTGCTCAAATTCTAAGCCTTAAAAAATGATAGGCAAAATGACTAAATGACGAAACAACATACCGTAAGTTTTACCAGGTACAGGGGAATCCCCACTTGAATGCAATCAGCACGTGCTCTCCAACTTGCACGCGTGCCAAGAACAGTGCTGAAAAGGGGCAGGGGCGGAACGGGGGAATTTCCACTTACACATGCCCTGATACGGAACCCCCGAGTAAGTGGGGATCCCCCTCTACCCCACAGGGGAGTTGCAGAAAGAATATGGTTGGTAAAGGGAGCCATGGACTACAAAAGGTTGAAAACCTCTGCCAAAACTGTAGACAAAGAAGTGCTAAACAGAAACAACGCAACAAAGGCAGACAATTTCAGATCATGGGTGCCACCACAGGGAATAGCTTTCCTTTGGTTACTGATCTTGTTGTTGAGGAACCATGGCTCTATGAAGCTTAGTTTTCCCTAACTTTCACAACCTTTTTCAGAAGTGAAGTTTAATACTTTTAATGAGCTGGTGTACGGTGGTCAGCCTTTTCCATATAACTTAGCTTTTGGGCTTGCATTTTGTTCTAGGGCCGCCTTTTCTATGCCTGTGATGCTCCTAAAGGTAATCGATGCAATTTTTTTAAGTGGCTAGAGGATGTAAACCCTGGACAGAAGGAAAGTAGGCCTGGTGTTGTACTTCACGACACAAAGAGTATTGGAACCTACCTCAGGAGTCAAAATGTTTCCCTCTATGAAGAATGCCAGCTTCTGATGAGGTATGTTAACTAAACATGAGTATTACTGCCTGGCTCAGTAGAAATTGAGCTACTGGTCTGACATCATACTTTGTTAGAGAAAGGTAATAATCACAAATGTTCTCTGCTACTTCAGACTTGACCTTTTCACATTATTTTGCAAAAGTGTCCGTATATAAAAAAGCCCCAGTATTACCTGAGAGTATCAGGGCAGGTAGCGTGGAGACCCAGTAAGATCAAGGCAGTAGCACAGATTCATAGAGCTACTTTACCTCAGCTTTAATATTTGTTATGCAGCATAGTGTTCAAGAAATTCTTCCCTGAAACAACTTGAGTGTATGAAGCTGTTTGGATACTTTTAAATCATCATTTCTTAATATTAATGAAGAGTTTAATAGTTATTTAATCAATATTGCATGTGGTATGTGTGGTTGTTCACATAATTTAGTTGGTTTTTTTACTCTGCTGCAGTCTTCTGGTAAATCAGTATTTGTGTCAAATCTAAAGGCAGCCCAGAAATCATAATGTCTTATTCAGTATATTTCTCTCTCTTTTTTTAATAGGAAAGCCTTTGATATTCAAAGGAAACAATTTGGTAAACTGAAGAAATTCAATATTGCAAATGCGAACCTTGATTGCGATTCTAAGAGCAAATTATATCTTAAGCTGAACCAAAAGGAGCACTCATCTGCGTACAGCAAAGGTGGGTGGACTCTTGTCATCTTACTGTAACGGAGCAAAACGTAGCTAAAACCATTGATATCACACATAGGAGCCTCAGTTATTTTGAAGTATATTCACATTAAGATTTGTCTTTGGAAATACTGCATATGTGTGTATATGTGTACATATATCCATTTTCAGGGTGTTGACTTGCATAGAGGAAAGGATTTCCATTTCCAGTGTGGCCTGATTTATATAGCTCATACATAGATTTCTGTTCAAAGGCATTGCACCCTGACCTTTATGCTATACGTTGCTTCTGTCTAGTGAAATGAACTCATTTAGGAAAGTGGTGCCTGAGACTGTATAGGCAGTCCTCTCTCTAGTTCTAGTGACCAAACAAGATTAAATGGTAATATGTCTTGCTAATTAAGTTTGAACAGCATTGTTTCCTTTTTTAAAAGACACATGATTCTCACGCAAATGGATGCAGCTTTCAAAGGAATACCATATCAATTTCATGACACAGCACCTGTGATGAAAGAAATACTAATTAATCTTAGTATAAGATGTAAGAGAATACATGAGAACACTTACTACTGACTGTGTCAGAAAAGTGAGATGTGTGAAGACTACTTGTAGCTCCTCGATACTTTGGTTACTAATAGATTTTGTAGCTTCAATCCACGGTTAGCATAGCACATCTTCAGTTGCAGTCTTTTTTTTTTTGCGGGGGTTGGGGAGGGACCGCTATTCTAGATATATCAAATAATTGATAAGGCTATCACTTTGTTAGAATTAATCCTGGTATCCTGGAATTGTCCTTTTGTTTATGCCTTAATTGGTTAAAAAGTGGGTTATTGCTACAAGTGGATAATCTACATATCAATGCAATTTCATTTTATAAATTAACCTGTGTAGGCAGTTGTCATAACTCCCCACCCCCATTAGTGCAAGATTAAAGTGCCACACAGAACAAAAATTAAAACAAACCTTGGGGAAAAGCTCTACAAACTTAAATAGAAATCTTGAGACTACGTTAATACTTAATATGAAAATAGATATACTGTACAATCTATGTTTCTATTCAGAAGTAACCCCCATTCGTTCAATAGGATACATAGGATACCTAGTATTGCAGCCAAAATTTACCTGACACTGTTTAGTTAAAGAAGGCAAAGCACACAAGACTCCTTTGGAACAAGCAGAACTAGGAAGTAAAAAATAAGATGGGACATAACTTATTTTCTGCAAAAGACTTAGTCCAGATTTGATTTTGTCCATTCAGAAGCTGGTGATTTGATGCAACTGATAAAACTCATTTACTCATTGACAGATGATCTTTGGGTTGTTTCCAAGACTTTGACCTTTGCACCCTTGGATACTTTCATTGCAAGCAGTGTTTTCTACGGACCATCCTCTAGCAGTGAATTGGAGTTGGTACCTCTCAAAGGTTACAGTCCCTCAAACTGGCGCTCAAATAGTAAGTACACCCAACTCTTAATATGCTATGAAACTGAATTATCAATTTCTCAAACTTTTGGTATGCAAAAGGGAAAAAAGCCCAAGAGAAATGATGGCAAGATGAAAGATCTAATAGGCGTGAAGGAAATGCCCAGAACAATTTTTTAATTGCCATAGAGATGTGATGCTACAAGTGAAATAATGTTAATTTGAAAAGCTTATTAAATGGTATTCATATATTTGGCCCTTGAAAGTTGAGTAATGTTTTCATTTATTTAACTAATCCTAAAGTGAGATATCTGGTAGCTTGGGGAGAGGAGGAAAGCAGGGGTGGAGATAGTGTAATAATGAATTGGGTAGAAACACAATTGATTACCTTTCTTGGAGGATCACAGACATGGCTGAAAGTGTATGGACAGCATACATAGTGACAGATATAAGAAACAGGGGAACTAAGTACAGTGGTACCTAGGTTTTCGAACATAATCCATTCCGGAAGATCATTTGACTTCTGAAGTGTTCGAAAACCGAGGTGCAAAGGGTGGCCAGCAAATTCCATGGAGAAAATTGAAAATAACTCAGCGGAAGCGGTTTGACTTACGAGGTGCATTCGAAAACTGAAGCATTTACTTCTGGGTTTTTGGCGTTCAAAAACCGAAATGTTAGGCTTCCGAGACGCTCAGTGGGTAGTATCTGATGCATCACAATGCAACATATGAACCCTCCTATACGGGTTCATATTAGTAGTGAGTGCAGCTATAACAGGCAGAGAAATGCAGAAATGTAAAAGAATTTATTTAAGTCTTGCAACAGAGATGGTATGAAACAAATTAAAGCCTTGTTTTAAAACACAGTGAAAAATCATACTCTATTTGGAGTGTACATATTATAATTCCTTATCAAAATAGAATACCTTACATTGGTGTGAAGGGGAGCTTTTTCTAGTACAATACAGGGGTACCTCGGGTTACATACGCTTCAGGTTACAGACTCCGCTAACCCAGAAATAGTGCTTCAGGTTAAGAACTTTGCTTCAGGATGAGAACAGAAATCGTGCTCCAGCGGCACGGCAGCAGCAGGAGGCCCCATTAGCTAAAGTGGTGCTTCAGGTTAAGAACAGTTTCAGGTTAAGAACGGACCTCCGGAACGAATTAAATACTTAACCTGAGGTACCACTGTAGTAGGTACAAGGAGTTGACTCTATACAGTGGTGCCCCGCAAGACGAATGCCTCGCAAGACAGAAAACCCGCTAGACGAAAGAGTTTTCCGTTTTGGAGGTGCTTCGCAAAACGAATCTCCTATGGGCTTGCTTCGCAAGACGAAAATGTCTTGCGAGTTCCTGCGGGGGGTTTTTCCTCCCCCCCCCTTTTTCTAAGCCGCTAAGACGCTTATCCGATAAGCCGATAAGCCACTAATAGCGCTAATCCGCTAATCCGTCAATGGGCTTGCTTCGCAAGACGAAAAAACCGCTAGATGAAGAGACTCACAGAACGGATTCTTTTCGTCTTGCGAGGCACCACTGTATTGAGATCACAGTGGTGGTCAAAGGGTTGAATCCCCATGCCCTTTCTCCAGCCAGGGCCCTTACTCCAGATTAGTCCCCCTATGTCTGCTATTTACTTTTGGGGGGGAGGGGGCAAACAGTCATGCAAGTGTTAATTTTCTGTAGCCAAGTACATTTAGTTACTCTTCTTTCTTGTAACATTTCTTCTTCTTCAGTGATTGTTCATGCTTTGCTAGTTTGCAACGCTAGTACTGAGCTTACAACTTTGAGAAATATAGAAGAAAACATCCGTTCAGGCACTTTACCAATAATGGAGCATCTGCTAACAAAGTAGGTAGCTTTACTATCTATATTTCAGTTCAGTTTTTATAAACTGTAGATTGTACTATCATTTGAAATAGGTGGGAAAGGATAATGTTTTATGCTGCATAGAATGAACATTGCAAACTAATTTCTCTTTGGAAATATACAAGATAAGACTGTGCAGATACTATTAACAGCATATATTTGCACTCACTGTGTTCTGGCAATTTTCTGAAAACTAAGAAAACTTTCAAAAACCAAAGTGGAATGTATTTGTTTTAGTAAAATTACTTTAAGCACCTGTAGGTGAATTGTCATAGCTGCAAGATTCTGTATATTTAAAATCAGACAAAATAGGCGATGATGAAATTGTTTTGGTTAAGAATGACTTTTAAGAGGAGCACAATTCCCACTGCTCATGTGTGTGCATGTGTGCAACCCCCCCAAAAGTATTGAATTTGAGGGGGGGGGACTGAAAAGGTGGCAAACTATTTAGATAAAAAGTAAAACAACTTGAAATGTGTGAATGTAGAGTCATAAAGATCGTAATTTATTTTAAAAATGGATGCAGATTCATACATTTAGTGATGTAAATAAATTTCATTTAAAACTATATAGCTTAGTGATATTCAAAGTTAGACACATTGAAATAACTTAAATCTATTGGTTTCAGTGGGTCTACTCAGAGTATAACTAATGTTGGACACTGCCTTTTCACTCTCTCCTGATTTAAATCCTTTAATTAACACAGGTGTGATTTAATTATATGACAATTTGCCTCTAAATGTACCCAATATTGTACTTTTTAGGTCTTTTAAAGCTTCTAGTAGCCGAGTCAACAAGCGAAAATTTAAACCACCTGCCTTAAACACAAATACAATAACTACGGGAGCCCTGAGTCCAGAAACTATTATAAATCTGGCAAACAATATGATTCAGACATTTCATCTGAATAAAGATCAGGCTACGGCACTGATTCAGATAGGTGCCATGATGACATTGCAAGGAATCGATACAGAAACTGGGAAACGGCAAGCCCTTCCAATAACAATCATACACGGTAAATTGTTTTATGCGAACTTAAATAGCTTGCTTCTACAGTTCTGTCTTTATTTCAAACATTTATTGGACTACCCTCACTTTGCCGGCAACTCCTCATTGCACCACCAAACAAGTGGTCAAGTGTGCCTCCAGCAAGAGCCCATGTTCAGCAGCCCATGGAAAATCCTGAAAGAGGGTGCTGTGGAGAGGAGGAGGGCTTGAGCTGGCCTGGGGTCTACTGTTACTGCTTGATGATATTGGACCCAATTTGGATCTGATGGCTCCATTGCATTGGCTCCAGTGTGGCCCAACGCTTCTCCTACCCCACCCTTCCACCCAGTGTGAGCAGATGGACTGCAAGGACCGTGGTGGCCCCATCACCCTGTTAAGTCCTGCCAGTCCTCAGTGGAGATTTAGATTGTAGCACCGTAGCTAAACTACTGCATAAATTTGGGCACTCCAGAATCATTGCTGGCCCCATGGCAGAAAAACATTCCATGCTCCTTAAGTTAAGGATGCTCTACTTGCTGTTGTTATTATTTTTAATAATCTCCTTCCACACACGTCTAAAGGTGATATGCAAGTTATAACAAAACTTAGGAGAGAGTTTTGTCTCAACTTGCCACTATCACAGCACACTCAGATGATTTTGTTAGTGAACTTTCAACTGTGGTACCCATTACTCTTTTTGTTTAGTTAGTTACATCTATGCATATGTGGTTAAGAATATTTTATATGTTATTTTGCATTTACTTGGGCTAAATCTCTGATTTCTCCACATACAGGTGTGTTTGGATCTGGAAAAAGTTATTTGCTGGCCATTGTTATCTTATTCTTAGTACAGATCTTTGAAACCGGTGAAGGAACTGATGGCAAAAAGTCGGTGCCATGGAAAGTACTGATCTCTTCTTCCACAAATGTTGCTGTGGACAGGGTACTGCTTTGGTAAGTACATACAGTTCTGCATAGGACATGTTTTGTTTTTCTCTTGCTGCTTCAGTAACTTGCTTGCATTGTTAAGTCATAAACTCTGCCACCTTCCCTGGATCCTTCAAAGTAGCACAATGTGTCTTCCACTTTCCTTGTTAGAGATGTTGTATAGAAGGCACTTCCAAACTAACTTTCGAAAGCAACCTTTTGTAGAGTTATGAAAAGAATACCACTTTTCACTGTATGAATGGTGTATCCATATTGCCTTGTATTTTTTTAAAGCTACATGCAGATTTTGGGGGTGTACAGGGCGGGGGGAGGAGCCCGGTTGCACCAATGGGAGTCCTTCTACTGGCTTCAGGTTAGTCTGTCTTTGTCCCTGAAGCAGTCATTTGGCTCCTCACCAGAATTGCTACCATTGGTAGAGACTTTCTCCGAAAGCATTGGCATTCTCCAAGTTTGCATATGAACATTTCCTGTTTTAAAACTGGTGGGTAAAGAATAAAGAATGTGGAAAGATGAAATTAAAATAAAGGTGCTAGAATTCATTATAATAAATGTTAGTTCGTGTCTTTTTCCTTCCCCCACAGCCTCCTAGATCTTGGATTTGAAGAATTTATTAGAGTGGGAAGTATTAGAAAAATTGCTAAGCCAATTCTTCCTCACAGGTAACATGCCTAAAATCTTCAGCCTGTTTGTTGTTATTTAATAGAACATTTTGTGTGACATATATCATTTGAAAGTGAATGAAATACCACATACACTGAAAACTTGAATTAAGTCAAATTCCCCAGCTGTAATTTTGCTTGTGTGAGAGAAACAATAGAAGCAAAGTAAGTTACTCATTTAAAACTTGGGTGCTGTAGTTGGTCTGCCACTTAGCCACAGGCAAGACATTTCCAGGCCAGTATATTGTGTGTTTTTGATAGTAAGTCCCACTCAGTTCCTTGGAGTTGTTGGTAAATAAGTATGCATATGGCTGCAACCGTAATCTGACTGAGGCTTGGTTTGCCCTCTTCACGGGACCCCTGTTGAATTGTGTTTTCTACTAGTTGGCTTGTAGCCAAGCAGGGTTTGCGTAGAGACCCCAGTTGTATGACCAGTTCTGCCTCATGGAACCTATACAAGCAGTGGCCACAATTTGTGTGATCTTTCCAAGGCACCACGAGTATACAAAATCATATTGATTAAGCTATCGGCTTCACACAGGTTTAGTCAATCAACACTTCCATGTAGCCCTGTGCCCTCTTACCAGTGGCCATGTGGGACCATCAGGAATCTAAACCAGACTTACATCTTCCTGACATTTAAAATGGGAGTAGTACTTACTCCATACATTCCCACACATACATTGCATTGATCGTTAGAGCTTCTCCATGTGCTCCCAAGCACATGAAGTAAGGCAGGTGGTGATGAAAGAGAATATCTTTTTTGTAATGACACTCCATCTTTGGAATTCTCAACTCAGAGTAGTTCATCTGATGCCTTTCTTCTTTGTCTTTGTACCAGACAGATAGTTTTTTAAAAATTTTCCCCAAAGGGCCTTCTTTTTCATCCTGTGTTTTTAATCATCTGCCAGTTTTACATCTTGCTGTGCTGTACTGCTGTTTTGTCATCTTGATTTTTTGTTTTAATTATGTCAATTGTTTCAGTTTTTATAAGTCATTCTGAAAGCAGCTGTTGACAGGGAAATGTATACATATTTAAATAAAAAAGATGTTGCTGGATTGTTATCACTACAGAATGTTTGAATGGTCCTTCATATAAAAGAGTCCCTGCAGATACAAAGATTTTTTCTGGCAATCCCTGACTTGCTAAATTTTGGGTGCAAAGGAGGTGGCTTTTTGTTTGTTTGTTTTCTGTAAACATGAGGGAGCATTGAAACATTTGGTCCCTTTTTGTATCATTTGCAAAATAAAGCAAAGTACAGGATCTGCACATGGCGTCTTTTGTTACTATCTTAAGGAACCTATTTCTAGATTTCATCACCAAACTACATGGAAAACAGAAGGGTGTCTTTTACGTATGTTTCTTTACTATGACTACATTGTTTTCATTCAATATTATTATCTACAATTGAACAATATGTTTAAAGCTTGCATGCTGGCTCAGGATCTGAAAGTGAACAACTGAAAGAATTGCATGCTCTGATGAAGGATGATTTAACCCTAGCAGAAAAGATCTTTGTAAGAAAGACCATTGAACTCCATAAGCTGGGAACCAACAAAGCTCTCCTGCAACAGGTGAAATAAAATTAAGTGGCATAAAATAAGTACGTGCTGTACTAATGTTGTACAATGATGGTGGAATAAAATCATGCTTGTATCCAACGGTGGTGTGAGTAGGCAGCGGCTCATGTGACCGGTCTTCTTCTCCTCCTCCTCCCAGTTGTACCAGCTCCCAAAACCCTCTCCAGAAGATTGGGGGGCTCTGAACAATGGGGGCTATGGGGTATGGGACTGCAGTGTGAGGATGGAATTACCCAAAATTGAGTTGGGGGATCTTGCACTGGTGTAGCTATTGCTGGAGCAAGATCCTTTGATCTGAATGAGTTTCCCTACACCTACTATTGATTTGGATCGGGATCATAGCTGTGGCAAAAGGTGAACATAGGAAGCTGAGTAAGACGACAGTAAATCACAAGAAAGCTCCCATGAAGCAGTTGCTGAGGCTAAAGGTCCCTGCCTCCCAGCCAGCTATGTCACCTTCTCTCCAGGGTTTTCCCCAAGCAATTGGAGACGTTGCATGCGTGTCTGTTTTTGCTCCTCACACTTCATGCCTCTGCTGGTTTTTGGAGACCATTGAGGGAGGGGAGCTTGTCACAGCAAGAAGAGGAGACACCCATGCCTTGTCACAAGCCTGGCCCATCTCTGCCTCTTGGCCTCTCTTCTCTTCTGCTTCCATTTCTGCCTCTGATTCTGGACTTCTCTCTTCTCACTAAGCCCTGTTACCTCTTCAGCTGTTACCTATCCTCCTCCCAGTCATCTCCCTCTTCTCATTGTCGTCCCTTCACCAATCCCCGGGCTGTGAGCCTTCTTCCCTTGGGGGTTCCCCAGCTGGTTCCTCCCACCATTCCTCTGCATCCAACCAGTCTGTGACACTGCTATATACTGTGCCAGACCATTGGTCAATCTAGCCCAGTCTTGTTTATTCTGACTAGCAGCAGCTCTCCAGGGTTTCAGCATGAAACTCTTAATCTCAAGAGTCATTGGTTCAAGTCCCATGTTGGGCAAAAAGATTCCTACATTGCAGGGGATTGAAGTCAATGACCCTTGTGGTCCCTTCCAACCCTACAATTATGATTCTGTGAAACCACAGTGCCATGACCCCTCTACCACTGAGCCTTGATCCCTTCCCCTTGCCACTACAGTGGTACCTTGGGTTAAGTACTTAATTTGTCCTGGAGGTCCGTACTTAACCTGAAACTGTTCTTAACCTGAAGACCACTTTAGCTAATGGGGCCTCTTGCTGCCGCCGCGCCGCCGGAGCCTGATTTCTGTTCTCATCCTGAAGCAAAGTTCTTAACCTGAAGCACTATTTCTGAGTTAGCGGAGTATGTAACCTGAAGCGTATGTAACCTGAGGTACCACTGTATCTCAATCACTTTTGAGATGTGTGAGTAACTTGTTTTAAGCATTAGAACCCAAAGCATATGGCTATATGAAAGATACACACGGAACTTTTTCTTTTTGCTCCCCCCATAACATAGGTAAGGGTAGTGGGAGCTACCTGTGCTGCCTGCCCATTCTCTTGCATGAAAAATCTTAAATTCCCTATAGTAATTCTAGATGAGTGCAGTCAGATGACAGAACCTGCATCTCTTCTTCCTATTGCAAGGTATTTCCTCTTTTAATATTACAACTAATTGATGGTTGAATTTCTTATCTTATTCTTGTATGTATTAAAAAGCTTATGATCTTGAGAAAATGGTTTAGTCAAAATAGACTGACTAAATGCTCTGTGCAGCAGTGCATAAGGTTTTATGCAGCAATGACTGCAGTCTGCACTAAAAATATCAAATGATGTAACTGGAATAAAGTATGTAGGTCTCTTCTTCACCAGTTTTCTGAATTCCAGTAATTTATCTTAAGTGTATGCATGCAGAATTAGGAATGTTGCCATTTTGAATATTTGTTTGTTCAGATACTTTTGTCACACGTGGAAAGGAGACCCAGGATAGTGGGGCTGGGAGGGGCAGTCAGTCCCAGGTGGGATATGCAAAGTGGTTGAAAAGATCTGTTACTTAAATCATGAAGGCAAATAACCAGTCACGGTCCTGGCAAATTTTAGCAGTCCTAAGCCCTGGTATTTTTAATAAGAGGGTTAAGCATGTATTTAAGTCTGTTCTATTGAAATTCATGATACATAGAATGATGCTTAAGAGAGCTTACATTTGGCTGGAACTTGCCTATTTTTCTTTACAACTAATTTGTATTTGGTTTTTAAACAAATACAAGAACCATTAAACACTCATCCAGCAATGCATCTAATGATGTTTGTTTTATCCATTGACTTTACACATAAGCTTACACATTCAGTGTTCAAACATAATTACTTAACGTAACCCCTCCACTGAGAAGATTGAGTGGCTGATATAGCATGGTCTTGAATTTGGTCGTGTACACAGTTAAAGAAAGAGGTCTATATTTCTTGGAAAATTATCTCTTTCCATTATGCCTTTATTCACCTTCCTGTGTCTGGTGAAACTCAGACATTGCTGTATCCCAGATATTATTTTCCCATGTGTTCAGAGGTATTTCAGAGGTTCTTTCATTGTTGAGCTATCGCTAATCATGCTATGGTCAGAAAGAAGCCTAATAGTTCTCTGTGGTGCAAGGTAGAGCCCAAGTCTATGTCTAAAGAGAGTAGGGCCAAGGCAGGACTTGGAGAAAGAGGTTGGCTTGTGATTGCAAGGAAGATGAAAGCTTAATTCCCTGTAGTTGCAGCCACAGACTGCATTCTTAATTATATTATTTCGTTTTAGGGCACTAGGGAATGAACTTCATTTTGCACAATGGTGTAGTTGATGTTAAAACCTAGGACTAAAAGGCAGCACACACATTTTAAAAAGAAAATAAATAATGTGTGATGGTCAAAAGTGGTTTTTTTTATAGGTTTGAGTGTGAAAAGCTGATTTTGGTTGGAGATCCTAAGCAACTGCCACCCACTATTCAAGGGTCTGAAAGTGCACATAGTAATGGTTTGGAGCAAACCCTCTTCGATCGACTCTGTTTGATGGTATGTCTTGCTATTTATCCTGAAAAAGAGATTCCTCCTATGATGCTAACCTTATTATGTGATAGAACTTTGCTTTCTTAACTTAATTTTGAAGACATCCCTCTCTGTTCCATGCACAACGTCCGACCCCATTCTGGGAGCTGCCAGGAGGAAGGTCTATGTGGAAAAGTCATCTTCTGTGCACTGCCTTCTGCTGGCATTTCTCTTGCTCAAACTCACAACGACTGGCTATAGTTGTGACCCAATGACTCTTACTCATTTTGCTCTCTGAAATGTACCAAAAGATATAACATGATCCTAAAAATATAGGTAGTTTTTAGTACTGGTATGTACAGCCTGACAACAACTTCCTTCCCCCCCCCCCCATAGGGACATGAGCCAATATTGCTTAGGACGCAGTATCGTTGTCACCCTGCTATATCTGCTATCACCAATGACCTGTTTTATGAGGGGAGCCTGCTGGACGGTATTTCTGAAGCAGATCGAAGCCCTCTGATTGACTGGTTACCAACACTTTGTTTCTATAACGTCAATGGCTTAGAGCAGGTACACGATATATTTATGTTTAAACTGTTAAGATTATATCATGCTTTATTATTGCCAGAGCAGTGTTGGATTATTTGGGACAAGTTGGTTACAAACCAAGGCATCAGTTTTGGATTTGAAACTTGCTTGTTTTTGAAGGTGCAATACAGTGTTTATGTAGCAATAGAAGAAGAGGACAATAACCCCCACTGTTTCTGCTTTTCAGTAGCTGGCATTTGGGGCACAGAGCCTCTGAACCTAAAGCTTCCATAAAGCCATCGTGACTAATATCCATTAATAGACTTCTCCTCTATAAATTTGCCCATAACATCTGCCTATCCCCTTTGTTCTTTTATTTGCACATGCTACTAAAGCACAGTCCAGCTTCCACTTTCCCAGGGCTTAATTTCCATAGCTTTTCCAATCCCTTATGCAGCCAACTAATCAATATTTTGACCTTGAAATCTTTTTACTTGAATTGAGACTTGGATAATGCAATGCTGCTTTAGAATGCTTATCCTTCTGTTTGGGGATAAAAGTACACTTTGGTTAAAAATCATATTCAGGATGTTGTTCAATATGTAGGCCACAACACTCTTTTGAGGCTTAAATCCTTTACCCAAAACTACATGGAAGGAAGCCTCAAATATTGCAGTCAAACACAGGACTTCTTTGATCATCATTTGTGATGATCTACATATGACTGAAAGATCATTTAGAAATGTGGAAGGCTGCTTTTCTATGAGTTATTTGGCCATTTAGCAAAGGGGTAAATAACGTTTTTGACCTTGGAGGCCAGATCCATCGGTATGTCTCCCCCCACCCTTCCAAGTGGGCCACTTTGACAGGTGGCCTATGCACCTGTCAATCACCTGACATCACCATTTTTCCTTTGCAGCTTGGCTTGTACTCAAGTTCTGTGGCAAAGAAAGATCCCAGCAGAGCTTGAAAACAGCATTGTTCAGCTGAATGGCACTGTTTTAAGTCCTCTTTGGGGCAGGGATTGGCTACCTTCAGGCACTCCTGACTGGGAGTGCCTAATTGTAGCTGATCCTGAAGTCACCACTGATCAGCTGGTCACAGCTGACTTCCAGCCCCACTTTCCACAGTGATCATCTCCAGTTGGGAGAAGGAAGCTTTATCTCTGAAGTAGCTCCCATTCTGGGCAGAGAGCGATATCACTGGAATGACTTAATTTCATGTGGTGAAACGGACACTGTTGAAATGGCTTTGCCTGTTGGGTGGGAGTTTCTTCACACAAGTATACAGCATTCCACATCATTTCAAACCCATGTCTGTCAGCATCGCATTGGAAACTATCGCAAAGGCTACATGATAATTAGACCGAAATTATTATGAATTAAGTTTTTTTCTTTGTTCCCCCAAGTGGGCCAGATGATATCTCATGGGCTTTCTTACATTACATAATATATGTCTGTTTCTTTTTCTCTAGGTGGAAAAAGACAACAGTTTCCACAATTTGGCAGAATCATTTTTCACTGTCAAATTAATCCAGTCTCTGATTGCCAGTGGAATAGAAGGAAACATGATTGGAGTAATATCCCTCTATAAGTCACAAATGAGCAAGGTATATTTTGCACACCAAAACACATTTCAGTAAAATGTTTATCAGTACAGTATTGATGTAAAAATTAATTTTAGTTTTCTGTTTTAATTTTCTGTTTTCCAAGAAGCTTTTCCCTTGCTTTCTTACTGAGACCTTCTAACTTTGCTAAGCATCATTACGTTCAAAACTAACTAAAGGTTAATTAAAAATTACCCTTCTTTTTACAGACAGATTACAATTTCTCAATAAGCATAGAAATGGTTATACTTCAGTAGGGTGATAATTAAGGTTCAGAAGGAACCTTAATTAATATTTACATTTTGCATGTCTGTTTGTTGTGAGCAAGTTCAAAACTTAATTGTATCAAGTTATTAATAAAATTTAATTTTAATTTTATTTAATTTGCAAAACAATAAATGTAATTATCTGGATCTGTTTTTGTCTACAGATTTGTAACTTGCTTAATGCTGTACATTCAGATGCTTCCCAAATTAAAGCAGTCCAAGTGTCCACTGTTGATGCCTTCCAGGGAGCAGAGAAAGAAATCATTATATTATCCTGTGTAAGGACAAAACAAGTTGGCTTCATTGATTCAGAAAAGAGAGTGAACGTGGCATTGACAAGAGGGAAGCGACATTTATTAATAGTGGGAAATCAAAACTGTCTAAGCAAGAACAAACTATGGAGATGTATCATTCAGCACTGTGCAGGTAAAGCAGCCTACTTTTAAAATATAGCCAGCTATTGCTATATTGTTCCCAGAGAATCTAGTGCAATAAAACATAACCTTCTTTGTGTGTCAATATTTGTAAGTTCATTTATTACTGATGAAAAAATTGGTGTGGTGTATGTGTAACTATTGTAACTGTTAGGTTGATTCTAATCATGTTTACATTACAAAGTCACACTGATTTAAAAATACTTACAAGTAAATATAGTCCTTAGTTGACTTTTTGGCACCAGCTAAAACATTAGCTTTCAGCTTTAACAGGCATGGCAGGCTGTTGTACAAGAAGCCCAAATCCAAACCTCTCTTGGGTGTGTAGATGCTTTGTAGATTATTGTATTAGGCCACTCTGTTTAGTGGCTAAATATTAAAAACTAAGATTGCTTTAATATATAATTATACTGTTTCACCACAGGAAGAAAAAATGGATTACAGCATGTTAGCCAATGTGAGCAGCAACTGAATGACATTATTAAATCTTATGTGGAAAAGAAGAAGGAGGAAGACGAAATGAACAAGGAAAAGGAAAAATCCAAAAGAAAATCACTATCACAAAAAACGAGTGATTAACTTTGTGCTGTTTCTATGTAAAATATTTTAAATACCTTGAAAATCAGTGTTAAAACTTGTTAATTGTTTTATGTCCCACCAATACTCTAGTTAGCTTTCCCCAACCTGATGCCTCCATCAGCCCCAGACACGAGGTTAGGGAAGGCTGGTCTAGTTACGTGCATCAAAAGGTACACAAAAGGCAGTGAAAATCATAGATACGATCACTAGAAAGTGGGCTTTTCCTTTGAAAATGAGCCTTTTACTTATATGTAATTCTTTTAATTGTTATAATGACATTTTAAGTACTCTGGAATAAAGTCAGGATTTTAAAATTGCTTTTATTGTGGAATTTTTTTTCAACAGGGAATTAAACTTTTAGATGGATTTATCATGGGTAGTATCTGAATAGGCTTTGTGTTTTATATAAAATAGTCTTATGGATGAAAGCTTATTGAGAAAAGGACAAAAAAAGGCTGGTGGCAATTAAAAAAATATTCTGCAGGTTGAGTTTATCACTCAACAGGATAGCTCAGTCAGTAGAGCATGAGACTTTGAATCTCAGGGCTGTGAGTTTGAGCCCCACGTTGAGCAAAAAGATTCCTGCATTGCACAGTGTTGGGCTAGATGTGGTCCCTTCCAACTCTACAATTCTGTGCTTAGATTGAATACATACTCTATTGATCATCATGGTGTGTTCTACAATAGTACACCTAATTTCTGCAGCATATTTCTACTGTGAGGTTGTTGGGCTGTTCCCATGCTTTAAAGCAGCAGCCTTTTACATTTGCAACCATGTCATTTCCACCATAGATTCTGACAACTTGTAGGCTGTCTGAGACTAAAACACTCTTTCATAGCAAAGATTGAAAATCATTTTGAAAAACCACACTTTTCAGTTCATGAAGTTTCTAGCTCTAGGTTTCATTTTCGCTTTGCCTTGCTTTTTGCAAGGCCTCTTATTTTTCTACTTTTCTTAGAAGATTTTCCTGCAGTGGAGGAGGGAATCCTAGGATGGGTTGCTCCTTCCCCTTTTGCTCCACTGGGCAGGATTATTCAAATGAAGATTGAGTTGCCCAGTGACAGTGGCAACCCCTCTCCAGTTTCCTTCATGCCTGGCTTCATGGCAGGTTTCATCATGACAAAGTTCCATCTTTTATGGTCCGGCAATTTATTCTCTTCCCACCTCATTATCTTGCCTTTGCAGAGCTAGTGGACTTTGCAGGAAAGGGAGGTTCCTGTTGCCATCTGGGATACCTTTTAAGCAGCTTGTGAGCACGAGCTCTCCTGCCTTCCCACTGGGCTGTTCAACCATGGGATTCGCAGAGATGCTGGGAAGGGGAGGAAGTCGCAAGGCAGTTTTTAACAAGTGTTGTTAAACTTATTCTTGCATTTCTCACTTTTGTAACACCAGTGTGAAACCTGATCTTTTAAAGATTGTGAAATTAGCACGAGCTCCTGCTCTAATGGGGGATGCGGGTGGTGCTGTGGTCTAAACCACAGAGCCTAGGGCTTGTCGACCAGAAGCTTGGCGGTTCGAATCCCCGCGACGGGATGAGCTCCCATTGCTTGGTCCCTGCTCCTGCCAACCCAACAGTTCAAAAGCACATCACAGTGCAAGTAGATAAATAGGTACCACTCTGGCAGGAAGGTAAACGGCGTTTCTGTGCGCTGCTCTGGTTCTCCAGAAGCGGCTTAGTCATGCTGGCCACATGACCCGGAAGCTGTATGCCGGCTCCCTTGGCCAGTAAAGCGAGATGAGCGCCATGACCCCTGAGTCGTCTGTGACTGGACCTAACAGTCAGGGGTCCTTTTACCTTTACTGCTCTAATGATGGGTTATCTTACAAACCCCTGCATATCTATTAAGCACTTCCCTGCACAAATGCTTCCTTCCCTTCCAGTTTAGCATGCCAAAGCCAGCAGCTTAGAAAGCTTGTGTCTGAATGCAGGTAAATATGATCAGTTGAGCTGTGTAATCCTAACTGTACTTATTTGCAAGCAAGTTCCATTTAAACTTCAGAAAAGTTGGACACCCGCTCCCTCCACCGAAATAGATAAATCTATGGGCCACAAGCCTGTGGAAAAATTAGAAGGAGTATCTTAAATTCTCTGTAAAGTTAACATTTCTACAAAATAATTAGTAGGTACATAGTTATATATTTCAAAATCTTCATAGTACTTCACATGTATTATCTGAGTAACCCTAAATGATTCCTGTGTCTTTCTCCCCATAGGGCAAATACCAGCTTCTGGAGGGCAAGGGAAGCAGTTTCCATTGGGAAAATAGCATTGTAGGGAAAGGGTTAAAATCCCCTCTGCTAGAAGAAATGCTATAGAAGTTGGGTGTATATAAATAATCAACCGTTAATGGGAAATAAGGTTAAAGAATATGTTATTTATAATATGACAGAAAATAGAGAAATATGGAAAGGATTTGCTGAAACAAGTACTAGAAGGGAGGTGTGAGGAAGTCGAGGAAACAAGGGAATGAAGGACAGAGTATGGAAAAGGAGGGATGTTTTTAAATTGTTTTTGTCTTGTTTTGTTCATGTGTTTAGTTCAATGGGTTTAGGGTGGGTTTGTATTGTTTATATATTGTATTGTTTTTCTCTTTCTTTTTTGTTTCTTCTCTCTTTTTTCTACTTTTTTGTAACTTTTAAAAGCAATAAATATATATATTTTTTAATCCCCTCTGCTAGCTCTATGGCATCTATTGAAACTGCCCCATCAAGCACAAACTTTTCAAGTTGATTTTTGAAAAGCAGGAAATCCTATTTCCCAGTACACTATGGAAAAGTAAAAGAGAGTAGTGTAGAAACTTTTTAACAATTTCTTTTTTTAAAAAAATGTTCTCTGCATTCTCAGATAGTATTTTATACTAATACAGTGATTTAGCTTGTGGTGATCTCCTAAAACTCTTAATTTTTGTTTTTGTTTTTTAAAGTTAAAAAACATAGATTAAACCTGATGTTTCTCATAAAATAAAGACCGTCCATTAGGTGGTGCCAGCGTTCTCTCTTCGGTCCATACTTTAGTGCTGAGAGAACTACCAAGGGTCATCTAATTTTTAAAAGAAATGAAGAAAGAAAATTTGCGTAATCTCACATGAATTTAAGATAATTATTCAGATGCAATGCACGTATGTTGCCAACAGAGACTGAAGTTGTTCTCAGGAAAACTAAAACTATTGCACTCTTAAGACTTTGTAGGCTATCTGTGTTTCTAGAATGAAAGTAAGCTTCACTATCACATTTTGGTTATTTTTAAAAGGATTTCTTTTAGCCCAAGCTGCTGCTGAGGCCACTAATAAGCGAAGTGTGGAAGAAGAAGGAATAGTCAAGGGATGAATAGCATCTTTTAAATTACTGGTGACACCCCTGTTCCAGCTCCCTAAAATCTCAATCAACAATCCATTAGAACTCAACAGGAGTAAAACTAAATCCTCGTTTAAGTGTATTTATCCGATCTCTTTTCTCTCTTTCAAATGCTAAATCCATTTCAGCATATGCCCCTTCTTTCTCTCGCCTTTCTCTAAAGGCTGGCAGCCTATACTTCTCTTGTAAATATGAAAGATGCTAATCATATGACATATCACGTCTCAGTCGGAGCTTGGAATAAAGCCTTGAGATTTGGGATCATTGCCTCCAGACAACAGCTTCATCAGCCGGAAAGTTGGTTTTTTTTCTCCTTTCCTTCAACTCTCAATCCCTTCTTTGTCTGGGGGAAAATGCAGCCAACTCAAGCTACCCTGGCCATATGGTTCACTCTGTATTTTCTTAGTCGAATTCTGAATTGTTTCTGTGACTTGCTAAGGGCTTTCCCCCCCCCTTTTTCTTTTTTTGAAGTGTGTATAAAGACATAGACGGCCTACTTGTATGGAGACGGCTTTTACGGAGGTGCTGCATGATCTTCATGCGTCCATTTCATATAATCTGCCGCTATTTTGCAGAAACTGCTTTCTGCTGCTGAATGCACTTTTCATCTGTACCCAAAACGGCCTTGATAGTAAGTCCCATTCATTGATTTCTAACACTTTCCACGAGTGTTTCATTCCATGTGATGTACTCTGAATGATGGAGGTATGTGTGTGTGTGTGTGTGTGTGTGTGTGTGTACATATACATATATATATATATGAACCTGTCAGATTTTCTTTTCTCTCTCCCCCCTCCTTTCTCTCTCCTCTCCCCCCCCCCATATCTGTTTGTCTATATCTCCTTCTCCTGCCCCCTCCTTCCCCAAGGGCCCTTTCAACAAATCATTAAATTCTACAGAGGTGGTCAAGCCAGGCCTGCTTTTCATGCATTTGGGAAAAGAAAAGAGTCCTTGAAGTTTAGAAGATGCCCAAGGAAAACTCCTTGAATGACATCAAAAGAATGGGTTTCCATAGCTGTTGAAGCACGAGAGCCATGTAAGCTACACAAAGGCGGGTTGGGGCAGTGGGACTGTCCCGCTGCTCTATCCCAGCACAATTGGGTCACTGAAATAGGGAATTAATTACCATTGGAGAGTGGGCAGCCCATTCACCACTGCCTGAGTTTTATTAAACGCCAATATAAATAACAAAACAACTCTTGTGGCTGCACTATTCCTACACGCCAAAGGAAGGATTAGCTTGGGGATTAACATCTTAAAGTCTATGAGACTTTCTGACTCAAGGCTCGGAGCTGGTAATCGTATTTGTCTCCTGGTTCAGCGATTAGTGCTCTCTCACTCGCACCTTCGCCTGCCTGCCCAATGTCCCTTTTTGCAGGCTTGTCTCTCTGGGCTTCTGGCTGCTTCTCTTCTCACAATCGGCTGTTCTTTTGGCCACATCTATAGAAGAAAGGAAAGGGGAAACTGCGTCTTGGCCGTGCAATCCTCGAGTTTCTGGGAAAGCAGGGTGGGGTGGGGGAGCTTATTGGGGTTCCTGGGGAGGGAAGAGCCTGCCGCCCTGGGAGGAGAAAGCGAGGGAGGGGCCGGAGTTTAAAAATCACTATGTGGAGGGCTGCACCTGCCATGCAAATCGGGAAGCAAACAATCAGAGAGCTACCACATTGTGGCCCTGGCGGGGAGGGAGGGGGGGAGCAGAGAGAATAGTTGCAAGCAAGGGATGCCTCCAAGCTACATGGGTATAGGCATCTCCCAGTGAGACCAGGGAAGGGCGCCCATCTGTCAAGCTGTTTTTTCTGCAAGGAAAGTAAAAGAAAATTGCTGTGCCCTCCTCCATAAAAAAAACACACATTTATCTGTTGTATGTCCCTGTAACACTTTCCCTATAGTTTTTGAGCCTGGCTTTAGCAAATGGGTATGGAAAAAAATATGTCATTACTAGCTTGTGTTCAGTATGTAAAAGATGTCCTAAGGGATTTTTCAAATAACCTTTTGGTGCACGCACAGAGGAAGCTTGTTCCACAAATGAGCCAAATTATTTTGCCGAATCCGAGACTGAGCCCTGTCAGAGCTGGTCACATCTGTGCCTGCACTGAAATTAAGAGTGGTATTCAAGTTTTACTCTGAGTAGACCTTTTGAAATGAATGGACCTAGCTTAAATACCACTATAAGCCCTCGTTGCTGCAGGGTAATTCAAGGCAGATTCTCATGTTCTGCTTTGCACCTGGAAACAATAAATAAAAAATATCTGCACCCTTCTTGAATATTGAAGATCATTCATAGGCAGGTGTAGATAACAGTATGGGGGCAGACCGTGTGCAATTCATCTATGCTTCTATGTATTTTAAGAGGAGAAGTGGTGGCTTTTTTTACAGATAGCCGTGGACCAGGTATCTCTTAAAAAATCAGTTCTCAGGCATGGAAAAACAGCACTGGGCATCATTCAGAATGGGTGAGATCATGCGACTGGAACAGTTGCAGAGGCAAATAACCTCCTTAGTTTTAAGAAATCTGGTACATGTGGTTATATTTGTCTCCCACCCTATACCAGAGTGGGAATGTACTATCTGATAGTTCCCCACAAAGTGAAACAGATTTAAGCCTACCAAGAAACAGACTTGTGAAAGTCACCCAGTAGTAAGTGTCATGCCTGGGCAAGCATTTAAGCCCGGGTTCCCCTTGTCCTACCTAATACTCCTCTGAACTAATTTTCTGTTGGAGTTATCCAGTAGATAAACCTCATTTCTTACTTTTGAGTTAAGTTTATCTCCATTTTGGGAATGGAGAATAATCCTTCCCCCCCCAAAAAAAAAATTGTGTTGATGATAATGACACAAGTATTTGTCCCTTGCCAGAATCCTTCCAGAATTCACCAACTTCAGCCCTCATACTATATATATATATATATATATTTAATTATTGGTTTAAAAAGTACACACTGTTATGTGGGTATCTCAGGGTGGTATAAAACAAGATCATAAGTTACAGTACAAGTACAATCAAAACAGTTAAATGCAGCAAGATAAACCATCAGGTAGACTGTAAAAATAACCTTAAAATACCATGATGGCTGGCCAGCAAAAGCCATGGTAAGCCAAAATGTTTTCAGTGTAGCACTGTTGGTTTGTACACTGCCAGACAGTGTTTGCCACCAGAAGAAAAGGCAAGGAAATGGAGGATAAGGCTGTGCTCTACCTTCACTGAATGCTAGTTGCTGGAAGCCACAAGTGTTATACTCAGGCTCTGCTTTCAGGCTTCCCATAGTTGGTTTTCCGTCTTCTCATAGGCATTTAGTTCTGAGAGCAGGATGCTGGACTAAGATGGGCCATTGGCCTGATCCAGCAGGCTCTTTTTATGTTCCTCTGCCTGGTGGATGCCAAATAGACACCTGCAGGTTATGGCACAACCAGGAGGATTTCCATGGGTAATCTCAATTGTCTCAACCTGCTTGCCCCGCCTATCTCACAGCAGACATTGGTAGCGGCTGCTGGTGGAATAGTTTGCCCTATTTGCTCTGTGGGTGATTTTCCTGCCTTTCTGAGACCAATATGATAGGGAAGTACAACCTTGTTTTATATATATTAATGCAGCTAAAGCCTCATAAATATGTCCGATAGTGGTATTAGTGATAACAATTGCTCTGGTGCATGAAAACTGTCTTCTGCCCAAAGGCAACTGCAAACTACAAGTGGAAAGCACTTTGTACAAACAATAGTGTTTTAATTTCTCATAACCTGGATATATTAGGATGAGAAAGTTTGCTTTACCCCACAACCATCACACACAAGGGCTTTATAATGCTTTAGATGGATCCATTTATTTCAGAAATGTGCAGCAAGCAAGCTGGTGCTGCCGGCCAAGTGCTGAACTGTTTGATCTGCCTCTGCGTTTTCTGTTCTAACTTTCTTCAGAAATGTTCAATTGATTTACTTTTTTATTTTAATGAAATCTTAGAGTCTGGGCTCCTTCCTGGCCTTGGACCCCCTAAAATCCTACCCCTTTTACCTGTCTGAGATTAACAATATGAACAAACTAGTTCCTCACCCAAAGCTAGGTTATATAATTTAGTATAATTTGCAGACTTATTTTCAAGGCTGCTACAAATGTGCATGGCAGTCAATCCCTGGCTATGTCTATAAAATATAGAATGCAAATAAGATATAGCAAATATATATTTTAACAAGCCAATACTAGCAGTGCCTTTTTTTTTTTTTTAGGGGGCACTCATTTTTGTTAAAATGTATGGCACTTACTGTAACAACTTTATGGCACCTATTTTTCTAGGAAAAAAGCACTGACTGCTAGATATGTTGTAACCTAGAACAGATCAATTCAGCAGGGACTGAACTGTCTCCATTGCTGCAGTGCATAGGCTAAGTAAACTTCCAAACAGAAGTCAAGAAATTAATTAGTCAAGAAATCTCTGCCAAGTACTAATTAATTCTATGGTAAATCCAGAAGAAAGATTGCATCTGAGCACATGCAGAGTGCCTTCCCATCACCAGTGAGGAATCAGAGCCAGTTCCTGTGCATCTTCAAATAGGGCAGGGCTTCCAAGTCAGAATGTCTGGCCAATACCAATCATTTCTCATTTTATAAATTAACCATGGAGGTGATATAATAATAAAGTTTCTGAACAAAAGATACTCGCTTCACATTTGGGACCAGGAGACAGATCTTGGAACTGCAGCAAGCCCTTATATTTTCCTTGCAGAACTGACCACTGTAGTTCCATTCTTTCCCCTCAGTAGGCCTCAAAAGCCAAGAAGGAAACATGGTGCAAGGCCTCTTCCAAGGGGGCTCACCAACACCCCCTGCAGAAAACCTTGCAGTGCTGGCATGAGTGGAGGGACACCCTGTCGCATCACACAACTTGGGCAGCCGGATCGTGGTTTGGGGTCTCTTGGCAACAGTTTAAGGTCTTTCCCCTATAAACTTTAAGGTCTTTGAGGTCGCGCCGACGTTCAAGCTTCTTAGGCACCACAAAGGCTTTTCTAAAGGTCTCCCTGCCCTGTCCTCCCAGTTCCTTGCCCTTTCCCTTAAATCATTTGTGCTCTCCCAGTTCTTGAGCCTTGCCTGCTTTGGCCTTTTGTTGTTACCCTAAAGGAGGATTGAGCCAAGCGAAAGGGGCTGGAGTTGAACAGTTTGACCCTTGCTGGACAGTTTGGGTGCTGGGATCTCTCCGTCCTTCTGTGCCTCCCTCCTGTCCATCTATCTCCCCCCCCCCAACTCCTTCTTGCTTCTCCTCCTCCCTCTTTGCATAGCCGTTCAGCCTCGTTTCACCAGGCTGCACTTTAGGGACCACACAAGTGCCTCTTCAATTCAGACAAAGTTAAAAGACAGCCACAAACTCCAGCCGCGTCTATTTGTCTTCGGTCACGTTTGGCTTCAGACTGAGGACAAACTGAAATAAGACATTCTCAGTGTCCCCCTCACCCACCCCTCCTTTTCCATGTCCTCTCTCCAGACCTGGACAAAATAGTGTGCAAATAAAATGAAGACCTGGCTAGCCTAGAGAGAGAGCAAAAGTAACCATCATTAGAACAATTCAGCCTTTGAGATTTCATCAGGCTGGGGGGTGGTTTGAGGTTAAATCATCCTTGGCCAGCCTATGTGGGACCAACCCTGGGAGACCAGGGTTCGGATCCCACTCGACCATAAAGCTCACTGGGTGACTTGGGGTCAGCCACCGCCTCTCAGCCTAACCTACCTCACAGGGTTGTTGTGGGGATTAAATGAGGAGATGAGAAACATGTACAGTGGTACCTCGGGTTACAGACACTTCAGGTTACAGACTCCGCTAACCCAGAAATAGTACCTCGGGTTAAGAACTTTGCTTCAGGATGAGAACAGAAATCGCACAGCAGCAGCACGGCGGCAGCAGGAGGCTCCATTAGCTATAACCTCAGGTTAAGAACAGTTTCAGGTTAAGAACAGGCCTCCAGAATGAATTCTGTTCTTAACTCGAGGTACCACTGTATATGCTACCTTGAGCTCATTGAAGGAAAGCTGGGATATAAGCTAAACAAATAAAACCTGCTGCCCTCCAGATGTTTTGGTCAACATCTATCAACCCTATATGTAGAATGAAACATCTGGGGGTGCCAGCTTGGTGAGGGCTGGGTTAATTTGGTGCTGGTTTCTTGCCCTAGTGCAAACCCTTTCAACTGTAGAGTCCCCTATCACACAACTTCCCAAATAGGATGCTCACGCAGCAAGAGAAAAGTGCCTAAAAATGAGATGGTACTGTGCAATCTTATAAGTAAGTAAGGGACAAGTCCACAAGTAAGTCCACTATTTGTTTAAGATTTATAAAGGTAAAGGTACCACTGCCCGTACGGGCCAGTAGTGTCCGACTCTAGGGTTGCGTGCTCATCTCGCTCAAGAGGCCGGGGGCCAGTGCTGTCTGGAGACACTTCCGGGTCACGTGGCCAGCGTGACTAAGCGGCATCTGGCGAGCCAGCACCAGCGCAGCACACGGAAATGGCGTTTACCTTCCCACCTATTTATCTACTTGCACTTAGGGGTGCTTTCGAACTGCTAGGTGGGCAGGAGCTGGGACCGAACGACGGGAGCTCACCCCGCCGCGGGGATTCGAACTGCCGACCTTGCGATCAGCAAGTCCTAGGCACTGAGGTTTTACCCACAGCGCCACCCGCTGATTTATACTATATTTTAAAAAGCCAATATGATTAAAAACATAGCCCAATCCAATGAAACAGCAATACAAAACAGGAATTAGGGGATTCGAGTACACAGAACAGTGTCTGATCTTATGATTTGGGAAAAGCAAATGTTCAGCTGACATTATTCACAGCTAAAGCTGCTTACTTTTATGCTCACTTACCTGAGAGTAAGACCCACTGCACTCCATGAGACTTGCTTCTGAATACGCATCCATAGGATTATATGGTGTGTTTAGGATTGTAGCCATAAGATGCCATCTTCTTAAGGCTGCACTCTTAACTCCCACAGACCTGACATTGAATTAAATAGGACTTACTTCAAAGCAGACATGGTTAGGATTGCACTGTGGCCCCATTTGCACAATACATTTGCACTATACATTTTAAAGCAGTATCATAGCACATTAAACCGTCATGACTTCCCCCCAAGATTTATGGAAGCTGTCGTTTGTTATGACAGTTGAGTGTTCTTAGGAGACCCCGATTCCCCTCAGAGAGGTACAATTCCGAATGCCCCAAAATCCAACAATTCTGGACAACAGCTATAAAAGAAATATGCAAAATAACTAAGCAAGTATTTGAAATCACCCCAGAACTGGCCCTACTAAACATCTTCCAAGACAATAATGCCCACTTACATTACAAAGAACTCATAACCCACCTACTCTCAGCAGCCAAAAACATCATAACCAGACACTGGAGAGACCTGTCAGGAGTAAGCATGGACCAAAGGTACCAAATAGTATGAGAAACAGCCTCACTAGAAAAATTAACCAATAAACTGAAACTGACACGGGGACAAATAAAAGAAGATGCCTTTACCCCGGTATAGCTCCCCTTTATCACATACACAGCCCAACAAGAATCCACCAACAGCATAGGAATCAGTATGGCAAACCTGATCCAAAACACTCACCCACCCCACTCACACATAAAAACAAAGTTCACCACACCCAATCACAAACAAACAACCACATCCTAGGGCCAACCCCAACCTCTCTCACCACCAAAGGAACACAAATAGCAAAGAGAACCTGCACAAGTGATGCTGACACAAAACCCCACATATACATTAAATAAAATAGAAACATCGCCACCCGACCCCACCCCCACTCACCATTCCCCCCTCCACCTCTTTCCCCCCTTTCTTCCTAATGTAACACTAATGTCTCAACAAATGAAACTGATCTGTAGAAAATGTAACTTGAAAAAAGAGACATTGCACATACTTTTGTAAACCAAGAAATCTTTAATAAAAATAGATTTTAAAAGAGAGAGAGAGGTACAATTCCCAGGGTTCCCCGGAAGGAGGAATTGATTGTTAAAACACTGGAAATTTTAGCTGAGGGTGCAGAATAGGAGTCTTCCAGCAACTCTCAGCTCCCTAAACAATATACACTTCCCAGAATGCATTGGGGGAAGCCATGACTGTTTAAAAAGGTATCCTAGTGCTTTAAATGAACTCAGAGTAGACTCACTGAAATTAATGTACTAACTTGTTTCACTTTGTCTACCATCTACTCTAAATGTAACTTAGTTGGGTTACCACCAGTAAATTCCATTTAACTCTGTGACATTTGTCTCTGTATACTCATGTTCAGGTTTGAACTGACGGCTTTGCAATCCAGATCTTTCAACCAGCTAAGTGAACGGGTTTGCTGCAACTAGCTCACTGTGGGATTTCGCATTTATTTATTACAGGAATAGTCAAGGCGTTGGAATAAAACTCCCATCTTACCATTGG